GGAACTGTGGGCTGTACAGAAAATTTTCATTTCTGTACAGTTAAATTTTCTGAGCAAATTTTACTGACATTTGGGATCTAAGCTAAAAGAACAACAATGGACTGAATTTACAAGTGACTACTGGATAGGAATTCCAGAGAGATCTACCTCCCCAGACCTGAATGTGTGTGTGTGTGTGTGTGTGTGTGTGTGTGTGCTTTTTGTCAAGGAAAAATGAAGACTCTCACGCCACCCTCTCCCGGGACAATGGAGGCATTTCCTGGGATGTAAAGCTGGATACTCGAGTCTTATCTTCCCTCTGGAGAAATTTATTTACAGCCCAAAGGGTAAGAGCCCAGGTTCCTTTTCTTTTTGCATCCGCCTGCAGATTATAGGCGGTATATGGATACAGATTTAGGTCTGTATACCTAAATGTTGAACGAAGATCAAGGTGGAGAGAATCCTTAAGCTGCAGCCTGGTGGAACCCGTGCAGTTCTAGGTTCTCAAAGTAGGAGGACTCTGGGTCTGTAAAAAGCAGCAAGAGGGCCCTGGGCATTAGGGTGGTGAAGGAAAGCACTTAGACGAAGAGGAAGAAGCCCTGAGAGAGGAAGTGTGAGCTACTGAGGACAAACTGCCTGCTTCTCCATGTTGCTTAGTTCTTTTTTAGCAACAAGTTTCTGTAGGCCAGTGTTTTATGTGATGTGGAGAGTGTTTTCTAAGACTGGTAGCAGTCTTTTATGAGACTGACCACACGTGGCTAGAAATTTATTAGGTGGGCTCCTTTAGTTGCAAGGACAGAGACACTCAGATTACCTTCAGTGACAGGTGAGTCTGGTGAAGCTGTGTGGGAAATCAGAAGAGGAAAGAGTCACCTGTGAGCTGGTCCTCTGGGGCTGCAGTGAGGGAGCACTGATCAGAGTATACAAAGTGCTGCCAAGTTTCTGGCGACAGCTACAGCTCCAAGACCTGGGCTACTTGTTTCCTCCTCAACAGGGTTCTTCTTTGCTTACTATCCTAGTGTTCTGCTTTCTGTCCTTGAGTTAGTTGTTTCTTCTTTTCTCTTTTCCCCCTTCCCCTCAGCCACCTTCCCTTCCACTGTGGTTTGCATTCCAGCTCTCCAAAAGAGAACTTAGATAGATTGACCTGGCCCCGAGTGAGAAAAATTTCACCTCAGTTCATAGAAAAACAAACTGGCTGTGGCTTAAACAGAAAGACTCTATTTTTTGTCCCATAACAACAATCTATCAGTAGGTCTTTGCAAACATTGGCTCAGCTGCTGGAGGCCAAAATCAACACCTCAGGCTTATCTTTCTATTTTCCCATTTAGCTGTTGATGTTTTTATCCTCAGTCGTGTTCCCTCCTGGTTGGTTGCAAGGCGGCTGCTGCTGCAGATCCAGGCAGCATGTGTCTACATGGAAGGCAGGAAGATGTGAGAAGGGGCAAGGGCAGCAAGCTCTCCTATTGTATCTGTTGCACGTGCAAGCATGCACACAGGAAGACTCCTGCTTAGGTCTCATTCACTGGAACTGTGTCACATGACTATGCTTAACTGCTGTGAATTTTGGGAAAGTGAGTGTTGAGCATTTAGAGCCTCTATAGTAAGAAGACCACAAGGTGCAAAGATATTGATAAAGGTTATTAGTGGTCACCTAATGGAAAGTGTCTGTCACAGTCACTATCTTGCATATGGCATCTGTCTTTGGCAGTGCTCAAAGATAAGCCATCTACTAGAAGACTTTTTGCAAAATATTGAACACTTATTCAATATTAATGGAACGATTAGACACTTGTCTGGATGCAGTTGTTCTCTTTGGGTAATGCTGACCATGGTATATCACAAATATATAATACTTACATATTTGTGAATGATAGCAAGTGCTATAAAAAACAGAGCTAAGAAAGGGGCCGTGTGGAGGCATGGATAGAGTGAGAGTGGGGGGCATAGAGAGTGAGAGGGGAGTATTGGCTATCATTTATAGAACATCAGTTTAGAGCTACATGCCACAGACGTTTCAATCTGCCTCTTTTAAAGGGAAGCTGGGAGGCATTTCTGCTCTAGTGAAGAAGGTAAGGAAATGCATGGCGCCAGGAGACAAGCATATACAGTTTTGACTGCACTCCCAGTACTGTTCCCATTCAAATAGCTGTTCTTTCAACTTCCTTCCTCCGGGCTGTGTTGAGTGTGGACTACAAACTGTAGCCTTGCTCCTGAGCAGCGCTTCAGTTTGCACTGCTCTGGAATTACCCACCCCTCACCCTACACTGGTTTTTAAAAACTCTCCAGAGGACATAGTAGGACCAACTTATTCTGGGATATTCTTTAGCCATTAGGCACTGGGTTTTTACCAAGGAAATGGGCACTGCTCATTTGCCTTCTGTGTAGCTATATAAAATCTATATATTGAATTTTAGAATATATTTTACTGATCATCCTTCTACCTCTCTTACCAGCTTGTGACCCCCCCACCCCACCCCCACCCCTCAGCTTTATCCAGGTTAATTCTCCCTTATCCTTCGCCTCATAATTGTAACTGCCTGAAGAAAGAATTTTCTTAAAAATTAGACTAAGCTAAGTTTCTGTTTATGCTCCTGTAAATCCATTGCCCTCCTTGATAATGATGACCACAGTTTCAATAATTACTTGTGTAATAGTTTGATTAATGCTTGCCTAATCCCTCAGTAGACTGTAAGTTCCAGGAGGGCAGGGATTTATCTTTCTTGCCCGGGTCTATATCTCGGTGTGTAGCAATGTTGGACAAACACACGGTGGCACCCAATAATCTTTAGTAAATTAATGAATATCTTTAGTCTACAAGTGACTAGCACAGTGCCTCAAAAGGACAGTCTGCTGTGGTAGATGCTGACTGTAAAGCTCTGCCTAGATCCCCCTTCAGAAAAAGAAGGCTTAGCCTCTGAACCCCCCATCACTGGCAGAAACCCTCAGCTCTCAGCACTCTTTGGAGAACGATGCCTCAGTTAAAAAAAGGAAAATGGACAGCCCCAAATCACATCCACTTCCAGGAATGATTTGCATCCAATGTCTTATCGATGCTGGCAGTTGAAGGCCCAGCTAGTCATACCAACTCAAGATACCTCTGAAAGGCCACTGCAGGCCCACGGGCCTCTGCAACCTTTGCTGAGATGACAGTTCAGCTTCTGCCTCTGTCCAGGCCTGTCTCCTCCATCTCATTCAAGAGGCTGTCCTGAAGAGCATACATGGGCATGTCTTGTGTCCTAATCTGCCCCCAGACTCTGCTTCCTGGGTAACCCAACCTGTGGTAGCTACTACAAAAATGTTTACTGAACTGAACCAAGTATTATGTTCCATCCTACTCCATAAACTCCTAAACAGCAAAGATCAGTTCTTATTTATCCATGCATCCTTGCGGTGACTAGAAGGTGCCTTTCCTATAGTGAGTGCTATGGTGCCCCCAAAATTCACATGTTGAAATTCTAACTCTGGAAGGTGATGGTATTAGGAGGTTGGGCCTTTGGGAGGTGCTTAAATCATGAGTGGGATTTAGTGTCCTCATAAAAGAGGTTCCAGAGAGATCCCTTCCTCTTCCATCATGTGACGTTACAACAAGAACTCTGCTACCTAGAAGAGAGCCCTCAGCGGTCCATGATGGCACCCTGATCTCGGACTCCTACCTTCAAAACTGTGAAAAATAAAATTGTTTTTCCTAAGCTACCCAATCCATGACATATTGTTATAGCAGCATGAATGTACTAAGACAGTGGCATCATAAGCACATCAAACAAGATATTCCCCCAAATTTGGACTAGATGGAGCCAAAGTCTTCCTATTCAAAGTGTGGCCCTAGAACCAGTGACACTGACAACCCCAAGTATCTTGTTAGAAACGTAGTGTCTCAAGCCCCAACCTGAATCAGACCTATGGAATCCAAATCTGCATTTAACAAGACCCCCAGGTGGTTCACCTGTACATTGGAGTTGGAGAAGTACTAAGCTAAGGGATTTAATAGAAATAAAATGATCCAGCTAAAAATTCCTCTCAAGTTTGTGAAGTACTTTCATATCGTTTTTCTCTCTAAAATGTTGCTTAACACTGGCGTATCATGCATTCTTTCATTCAACAATTACTTATTGAGTGCCAACGGTTTCAGTCCTATGGAGCCTGAGAAAATAAGTATCAATATGCATATTGTAGACTGTAGGGGAAGGTGCTAAGTGCCATGAAAAAATTAGTAAGCCAGGATAAAAAGAAAGGAAGGTGGGCTGTAATTTCAAATTTTTGCGAAAGAGCGCGATAAGCAGAGACTTGAAGCAGGTGAGGAAGTTAGCTTTATGCACATCCACTATGGCTGGACTGGAATGGGCGAGATGGGGAGTAATAGCATATGTGAACGCGGGCAGATCTCATGAGAAGCTACTGAATAAATGGCTATTTGACATTTAATTGTTGCAAAGGTAATACAAGCTGTTTCCCGCCCCCGCCCCCGCCCCCTCCCACCGCCCCAGGAATAATGTAGATTTTGGCCAAGCCAAATTGACTTGGGCTGTGGAAGTTCGCACAAAACATTTCACCAGTGAAGCTTCAGGTTCCTCAGATACAAATGCAGGAATTAGAGAAGGCAGGTAAGCTTTTTCTGTTGTAAACTCTCAGGTTCCCAGATGCGTTGACAGCTAAATCGAACAGAGTACAGTGATTGTGGCTGGGTCGTGGCCTAGGGCAAAGTCCTGCAACCCAAGGATACTGGAAATAGGAAGCAGAATCTCGGGACGTGGTGCCAAGATGAAAAAAAACCTTTGGACACACGTTCCGCACAAACCCGTCAACCCTCGAAGCTGGCCTCTCCTTGTTTTCTGGTTCTACTCTCCCGTCCACGACCCCTTCCAAGCCGGGGTCGCCCACCCCCCACCCTCGGCTCCGCTACTCCTCTCGTCGCCTCGCCTCGCGCAGTCCCGCGGCCCCGCCCTGGCCCCGCCTCCCCTCTACAACTGGCCAGCGGGGTCTAGTCCCGCCTCCGGCTTCAATGTCCACTCCCAGGCTTCGAGGGGAGCTCTGGTCCTCGGCGGCGGAAGTGACGTGAGGCCCAGGCGGGAGGCCCGCGCCGGTGGACCGCAGCAGCCGCCCCGGGCGGCTCCCGGAGTCTCGGGAGCAGCATGGCTCTGCTTCTCCTCGTCCTCATCACTCAGGTCGTGAGCCCAGCTGAGACGAGCGCCGTGGGTCCGAAGCCGTCCTCGGGTACTGTCTCGTGCGGCAGGGCCGCGGCTGGATGGGGGCGGGGAGGGGAGAGAGGAAGCCGCCCTCTCCGGGAACCCCCGAGTGGCGGGGCCGCACCCGCGCTGGCCGGGTTCGCGGACGCTTGGCGGCGTCGGGCCCTGTGGGGGCGGCAGCCGGGAAGGCGACTGCGGGTGTCCGCGGTTTGCACTCTTCAGTTCCCTCTCGGCTCTTCCGTGGTTGCCGAAACAACAAAACACGCCTCTCAGTTCTTCGGTTCTTTTCATTTATTTTTACATGTGTGGGTTTCTTGGTCAGCATTTGTAAACTGTGGCCACAGGTCTTGACTTAATACTACATTGTTAGGGGGAAGCCAGAATCCTTAGGGATAGAAGCGAAGTTGTTCTTTCCCAGCTGAGAGTTTAGTGGCTGTCACTAGCCATCCTTGTTTGCGAGTGGTGCAGGGCGAGCCAGACTTGTCAAGGTGCTAAGTCTCTTCGCGTAGCTTAGTTCCTGAAAGCAGTTTATTTCTGTCTGCTTATTGAGATTTTCCAGGAAACAGATGCTGAGAATACGCTTTTTTTCTCTAATAAAATAAGTAAACCCTTCTGCAAGAGGGATAAACCTAAGTTATCAGAAACTCCGTTAGTCTTGAGTGTCTCCTCGGTGTCCGCAGCTAGCACTCGCCCGCGAGGGGTCTGGGAGGCCCACCCTCCATCATCCTTAGCAGACTGGGTCTGAGGCTCTGTATTAGGACTTACTTCTTGAGCGCCTTACTGTTGGATGTGCCGCAACCATAGCCAGCTCTCTTTTGGCTTGTTGTTTAAGAGTCAAGCAAACACACAGGCATAGTCTTTGGGGAAACCAGATGTTGGGAATACAAAAATGGGAGTTGCTTAGTTTCTGCTTTCAAGGATCATGATTATTTAGCTAATGGTTAAGTGCTTGGCACTGTTGTTCTCACATCTCATTTTCAAGGCAGCCCTGTAAAGAAGACGCTGTTGGTATCTCCATTGGAGACACTGAAAAGTCTACCCAACTTGTGGAGAAGTCACTGGTACGCAGTGGGGAGCCTGGCAGTTGGGCTCCAGGCTCCAAGTTCTTAACTACTCTGTACACTGCCATTGACAGATCAAGTTCATCATCCACAAGGGTAGCTGTAGTACATAAGAGCTTGCACATATGGGTACCTGGCTCTGACCAGGGGAGTCAGAGGAGATGACCCCAGAGTTGGAACTGGAGGTTGCAGAGAGGCTTGTCGTGCAGAGAAAGAGGTGTGAAACAGCATGTCGAATTAATGGGACATTAAGCATTTTATTGAAGAATATGTGTGTGAGGTAGGAACCAGTTAATGAAGTGCCTTGTCATGGTCACGTGTAACAACAAGGGGTAGAAACACAGCTTTGCCTGACTTAGGCAAAAAGAGGAATTGATTGGCTCAGAGATGCTAAGCAAAAATTAAACAGAGAGGTAGAGATGCCAGCCGGGCCTCAGAAAGCCGAACCAGGGAGTTGAACTGCCAAGACTCTCCATTTCTTATTCCTGACTCACAGCATTGACAGCTTTCCCTAGTTGGCAGCAGTCGTGGATGTTGACAGCTTTTGGGTTTTGACATTTTGCAGTTTCTCCCATCCTAACAAAATCCCAAGCGAAGGCTATGATTTGCCCAGCTTGGGTCAGGTCCCAACTTACTCGGGAAGTACATTGGTTCAGAGGATGGCAGTAGGGGAGTTTCTAGAAGAGAAGGAATGTTTCTGAAAGGAGTACAGGTGCTGAACTAACGAAAGAATATGCCCAGTATGCCTTGCTCAAGTCAGTAGGCAGCCATTGGGTTATTTTAAGAGGAGAAATGATTTTGAGCAGGATTAGATATGCCACTTAGAAAAACCATGCATCTGGTAAAAGAGCTTGGGGGTAGAATCCAAGGAGTGAGTCCAGTTCAGTAGCTGCTTATGTGTGGGAGGAGTTGATTAGAGGTGGCAGTTGAAATGGAGAGGACAGTTGGACGAACACGTAGAAGAAGGCTGAGTCAGCAGGACTCAAGTGACTGGATGTGCAAAAGAGGAAGAGGATGACTCAAGTTCCTGGCAGAGTGTTAAACCAATTGTCAGGCTCTCCCTTCAGAGCACAGGGCCCTCCTGAGCATGGTACCTCTCGGAAGCACAATTTCGACATTCTTGAAGCAGGCCCTGGGAGTAGAATTGCCTGCCCATCTGCCTTGAAAAGATCTGCTGTAGCCTTCTGCACACCAGCATTTTGTAAACACAGCTGTTGGCAACACCCCTGTTTTTCAGTGCATTTCTAGTCCAGTCTCCTCTAGTTTATCCAGTGCATTTTTCTACGTTCTGTTGTGTTCTCTCTACTTTTAAAGCTAGTTTAAAATGCAAAATCTTCAGAGTATAGGAGGAAACCCCACAGGGACAACCTGCTTCTGCCTCTGAGCTTCCCTGACTCCTCAGTACCTGGAGCTTAATACATACACACTCAGTGTGTTAACTCTTATTAGTGCCGAGTTTGACTGTGTGTTTGGAAGTTCGTCATAGACAAGGGAACCTGGTAGGAAGAGGGAAACACTCAAGGGATTATAGCCAGAATACAAAAAAATCCAAATGGTTGGGAATATATTACAGTTACGGTCTTTCATTAATATTTCTTAAGTTCATTTGTAGGGAAAGTAAGTCCATGTGTGCCATCTAATAACTAGTAGTACTTCACTTTTCAGACACTTTTACATACTAAGTATGTGTATATTTTAGGTGAATCAGTGCCTCCTAGTGGTTAACTTCTTCCTGTTTGCTCTCCCACTCCGAGCGTTATCTGCAGCACACTCTGCACTGGAGCACAGATGTGGGACTCTTAACTCGCCTTCCCCACTGCTTCAGCTGTGCCTCCACCCAGTCTCTGACCAGAGGACCATGCTCTGCCTGTGATCGAATTTTCCATTACTTTCTCTAGATTCTGTTTTCATTTATTGCAGAGATTCGAGATAGTTAAGATAGTACATCTTAATTGTATTTAATGAGCAAGTATTAATAATAATTTTCTTCCTCATTTTATTCTGATTCATGATTCATATGGACTTTGCAGTGTCCACATTTCAGTTCTATATAAATAAATACCTAAAGAATTGAAGAGAAAAATAACCCATTTAAAGAGCTATCTTATAAAATTTGGCAGCACACACCAATAATGCAGTTGTGGTATGAACCAGAATTAAATGAATTTCTGACAGGAGGAAATTAGTTTCCTCATCATTTCCTTACTAAGGAACTGTCCACTCTAAATGTGCAGTCTAAAGAAATGATTTACTTTAATGCACTGTTCGGATTTCGCAGTGGCCTTCATTTAATTCAGATAGTACAATAAATCGGGCAAAATTACTTGAAGCAGGTGCTTGTGGAGTCATCAGAAAACAACCATCTCCAATTCCTGTTTATATATGGAGGTTATTTTCCCCTTATTTTAGTAAACTATCATAAAAATAACACTTAAGCAGCCTTTTTTCACTTCTCTTTCCAATAGCAGATATATTTTAATATAATTTTTTAAAATTATATTTTATTGATTATGCTATTACAGTTGTCCTGATTTTTCCCCTTTTTCCCCCCTCCCTCAAGCAATCCCCCCACCATTGTCCATGGGTTATGGTATAAGTTCTTGGCTACTCCATATTCTATACTGTATTTTATATCCCCATGGCTATTCTGTAACTACCTGTTTATACTTCTTAATCCCCTCACCTCTTCACTCATTCCCCACACTCCCCTCCCATCTGGCAACCATCAAAATAGTCTCTGTATCCATGATTCTATCTTTGTTCTTCTAGTTTGCTTAGTTTGTTTTTTAGATTCAGTTGTTGATAGATTTGTATTTATTACTATTTTGTTGTTCACAGTTTTGATCTTTTTCTTTTCTTAATTAAAAAAATCAATGAAAGTTTACATATTGTCAAGGCTTTAGATAACTTTTCTAAGCCTTTGTTTTGTCATTGGTAAAAAGCATGTATTATAATATTTCCCTCATAGGGTGGCTGTGTGCTTAACTGAGATGATGCATAAAAATGCTGAGCACTTCCCTTGTCACGTAGGAACTTTCAGTAATGTGCGTCATTATTTTCACAAATACATTTTAAAGTACTAAATTATTTAGGTATATCTGAGAAATTATGTGGAAAAGAAATCTCATCCACATCAATAGGAGAAGTTTAAAATAGGCTCAGCAGCTAACTTGTTCTTCTTCCTTTTCCTTCCATAGACTACAAAGGCCTATTTTATTTTTTCAGTTCCTAAATTATTTCTCAACTTCGAATGACTTAGTCCAAATTACTCTTGAGAAATGACTCCTGCCAGAGACCAGGGTGTGTCACTTCCAGTTAGAATTCATTGACAAGCCAAGCAAACCCAAGCAGATGAAGTCGAACAAACAGGCCAGAGTAAAACCCTGTGCTCAGGTCAGAGAGTGGGTGAGCAGGTGTTGACTGGGTAAGCCTCACTTGGCGGGGGTTTGAGTGAAAGGCCTGGGGGTTTTAGTTAATTACAAGTTCAATATAACCCACTAACTCACATGTCCATCTCTTTAAAAAGAGAGAGAGAGAGAGAGGAAAGAAAGTATTTCATTCACATCTGTTGCATCACATCTGGGCTCAAGATTTTAAAAGATAGAATGAGTGATAAAACCAGAATAGGTCCCCAGACAGATAGGAGTAAGAGAAGCCTGGAGGGATACTGTGGCTCTTGGCCCAGCTGAGGAACTATTATGTAGAAGGTGAAATAGACTTGAAGGATTTTAGGTGTCCTCCCTCGGAACCTTAGTTCTGAAACTTCTGCAGGTACAAGAAAGTAATATGGGGATGTAATGTACAACATGATGACTGTAGCTAACACTGCTATGTGGTGTATTAAACATTTGTTAAGAAAGAGAATAGATCCCAGAAGTTCTCATCACAAGGAAAACAATATTTGTTTTTTCTTTTCCTTCTTGTAGCTGTATAAGATAATGGATGTTAACTGAACTTACTGTGGTTATCGTTTTGCCATGTGTTTAAGTCAAGTCATGCTCTCTGTCTTAAACAATGCCATCTGTCCATATATCCCAAGAAAAGAGAAAGAAAAAAAATAAAAAGAGAAGAAGTTGGGAAGCATAAAAATAGCCATTTTACCAACATTATAAAACCATTCAGGAGGTAGACTGTGAAAAATATATATTCTGAAAAAAAGTGCAATAGTCTTGATTTGATATTTTTCACTTTTTTTCATCTGGATTTCTCATGCCATTTCTCAGTTTGCACTGTATGAAGAAATCTTTGTGAAAATACGTATGGCCCTGCATCTTCAATTTGGGGATGTTAGATTTTTTTATCTAAGAGTTACTCATTCAGGAAAGGGTCTGGATGCTTTAACTTGGAGCGTCTATTTTTGAGGTGTGGCGTCAGGTGAAGTCAAGTCCACAAAAACAATTTACTTACCGGCCTTTATTCTGGCCCTTTCACTTCTCTTTACTGCTCAGTTTGTCCTCCCATGGAAAGGCGGGTAAACAGATTGTGGAATGTCATACTTTGTCTACAGAGTATGAGGAGGGACCCAAAAAAACCTCCGAATTTATTTATAAAAAATTGTGTACTTATTTGTACATGTTTAAACTTCAGTCACCTTCAAAGCACTCTCCATTTGGTACAATGCATCTATCAAGACTTTTTTCCACTGCTGAAAATAGTTCTTGAACTTGTATATTTTAATGTCTTTCAGTGCTTCTACTGTTTTTTGTTTCACCTCTTCCACATCAGCAAAATGTTTCCCCTTGAGGACTTTTTTCATCTGGGGAAACAAAAAAGTCACTCCAGGAGAGATGGGGAAGATCGGGTGAATAGGAAGGGGGGGGCACTGGGGCCATGCCATTTTTGGTCAAAAACTGCTGAACCCTCAGCACAGTGTGGGCAGGTGCACTTGTAAATCACCCATCGTGAAATGGGCAAATGTGTTAAAAGAGTCTTCAAAATAAAGTTACTTAAGCTGAGCGCAGCCTCTCACAACAGCGCCAGCTGGTACACTGATACGGAAGGGTTCCTACAACACTCACCTAGTGGGGGAAGCCTGTACTACAAGGGGCCCGCCCTCCAGAAGATAACTCTGGTTTTTTGGAGTCCCCCCCTTGTATATGTGTGAAATTAACACCTTACCTGACAGATGAGGAAATCTGAAATAACTAGTAGTATAGCAGAAAAGAACACAGATTTCTTAATGCCTCACCAGGGAGTATTTTTCTTGTTAGAACCAGTCCACTTGATATAAACCAGGGTAATCATCATTATCATCTGAGGTGCTTTAAAAGGTATGCTTGTAGCTCTCAGAATTTCTGAGGAGTATGATAAGTTATGTTAGGAAGCCACTGCACCTCGGCCACATTGCCATTCATTTTTTTACTTTAATTATAAGTAAATCATGTTTAGTACAGTTTTCCATTTTGTATCATGTTACTAACTGTATCTAATATCTTCATGTTTATTCCTATCCAAAGGAAGGAAGGGAGGAGAAGCAGAAGGGAAAGGAGGAAGGGAGGAGATGTGTGTATGTATGCATTTTTCCTAGGATTGGTGGACAATAGCCTTTTACACTGACTGGGGGAAAATGGCTACTTTTAATAACCAGATTACAGTTTTGGTAATGTCTGATGAAAAGATGTTCAAGTGACTTAATAGGCTCACATCTTACTAACCTAAGTTTTCTGAAATTGTTTAAAAGAGCATAGGCAATAAGAAATACTGGGTTTGTTTTGTTAAAAGCCCTATGCACCCAGAGAGCAAAATGTTGATGCAGTCGGAATGGTCAATGGCTCTGTCAGTCAGTCTTGAGGCGTCCGTCCCTGTGCTGTAGGCAAGGTGCTGAGGGTGTTTGATGGAGCTGGGTGTAGGGCTTGAGAGTGGAGGTGGCAGTGGTATTTTAGAGTGAAATTGACCATCCATCCCTGGTGTAGCTGGTTCTTCTCTAGACATCGAATATAATCTATGGTATCATATATAGGAAATTCTAGTGATTAAGTGGATTATTATTACAATAGGCAGTGCATTTCTACATGAACAATGGTGTGGGGATTGCCTGAGGGAGTTGGGGGTGTTGTGTTCCAGGGGGGGGAAGGGGGGAAAATTGGGACAACTGCAATAATAGCATAGTCAATAAAATATAAAAAAAGGAAAAACAACTTCTCTATGGACTTGCCAAAAAAAAAAAAACAAACAAACTCCTAAAACATAGGAATTTATTACTTCACATTATATTTGTGTTTCTCTTATACTACAGTACTGCTTCAGTACTTTAAAATGACTCAGAACTTTTCTATACCTTTTTCAAAAAAAAATTAGAAATCTCCCAATTTAAATACTTTTATTATTCTGATGAACTCTACTTTTTAAAAAAAATGTATTTTTGTGTTTGGTTAACATGGCTTCTTATAAGGTTTGCTAATGTTAATTTCTCACTATTGTGTATTTAACTTTTTGAATCTCTTACAGTGCCTGTGCCAACCAATGTTACTATCGAGGCCTATAACTTAAATGCTTTCGTACACTGGGATTACCCAGTCATGAGGCAGACACCAGTTTTTATCGTAGAGGTTAAAACCTACGGGTGAGTATTACTCTCTTATGCTTTTCATTCTGTTTCTGTGTAGGTCCTGGCACATTCCGTAACTCTCTGTGTTCCCTTCCAGCATCCTTCCTTCTCTTGTGGCAAACTTCCTGAACTGCTTGTAGATTTCCAGAAGTGCTCACTAAGGACACAGATCAGTTCTTTTCAGAGTGCTTCCTGACCCTTAGTTCTTGCTGTCAGAATTGAAGTAGACAAGTATTACTAACTCCCCAGATTTTAAGGTACAATAAATAAATATTAGAGTTCTGTATTAAAAGTAATGTCATCTTACTTCCTATGTAGTATATACTTACTATTGAGTAAAAAGATAAACATTTCAAAAAAAAATTTTGACAAGTGTCGGGAGTCTTTGCGATGTGTTGGGTTCTGTAATTTAGTAACGATGTATGTTCATGGAAACTACAGTTTAAAGAGCAGACTTTTTTTTTAATCCTCACCCAAGGACATTTTTTCCTTTGCTATTAGAGAAAGAGAGAGAGGAATATTGACGTGAGAGAGAAACATTGGCCACCCTCTCGTGTGCACCCTGACTGGGGGCCAAACCCACAACCTCAGTAGTGCTCTGATCAGGAATTGAACCTTTGACCTTTTGGTTTATGGGACAAAGCTCCAACCACATCACACCGGCCAGAACTAAAGAACACATTTTTTAAAATTACATGTGGAATGTGGTTGTACAGATCTTGTAATTTGAATTGAGCTTCTTTATTGTAAAGAAATTGTAGTACTTCTACTAAAGAAGTACTACTGAAGTACTTTATTTAGTAGTACTAAAGAAACTTGTGGTACTTCTAAGCAAAGAATAAGGGTTTCCTTCCTACTCTGTCCAGCTTCTCCATCCTATTCTTACTTAGCTCTTTCTACCAGCTCCATGCCGTGAATAAAAAGCAAAGCATAGACAGAGATGTGTTTCTTTATGTTTATGTTCCTTTATTCCCCTTCATTTTAGGCAGGGAGCATGGAGTGCCGCTTGCAGTACCTCTGATCATCAATGCGACATCTTTCACCTGATTGATGACCCAATAAGTTCTGCCTGGGCCAGAGTTAAAGCTAGGGTTGGACAAGAAGAATCGGCCTTTGCAGAGTCAAAAGAATTTATTTTGTGCAGACAATGTGAGTAGAATGTACACACATCTAAATTTTAAATTCGAGAGTACTTACACATGTCTTCTATATATATTTGCTTTTATTAGCAATTGCTAAAAATTATTATAATGCCCAAGAAGCATTTGGAGCAATTTAGGGAATCCGCATTTTCCTCTTGTCTCAAGCCTCCAAAATAGGGCTGAGGTGCCCATCACTTTGCCCCTACTAAACGATTACATTTCCACTCCACATAAATAGGCGGACCGGTGCTGTCACACTAGCCTCTGCACTGCCCTTCCCCTCCCTGTCTCCGTCGCTCCTTTCTAAATTATATTCCCTGAGGACTTTGGCAACTGCTCTTATCTTTCCTCTAACTTAAATCCTCAGGGCCTGTGGGGATTTTAATACCAGCTTCATACATTCAAAAAGTATCAGAATTCTGTAATCTCTTCAATCCCAGTAATTTGAAGCTCTTCATGCTTCCAGCATTCCATTGCCATAGTACACCCAATCTTTATCATCGCCTCAAGCTCCAAGTCTTCAGTGCTAGTCCTCTTTTCTGACTAACATCCTACTCGTAGCTCTTAAATATGCCCTCATGCCTGGGTAAAAGAAGCCTTTCGTCACCTGCCTCCTCCCTACGCTTCTCGACTCTCAGTGCCGTGCGCTCCAGTGTCACTGCCTGCCTTGTTCTGCTTCGTGCTCCGTCACTTCGACCACCACCTCCTTCTGCTCCTGCTTTTCGGACTGTGCCGACTTGGTCTCTTCCACCGCCCTTTCTATACTGGCCCTTGAAATAGTTTATTCCCCAAGGTCACGCTTTATCATCTGTTAACTATACCCTTTGCATGCCATGCTTCCCCACATAGATTTGTTAAGGACATAGACATTAAGTCTATGCCAGAACATAACCTAGGCCCTGAGGACACATTAGTGAGTAAAAACAGACTTTCCTGGCACACAGTAGGTGTACAGTAAATATGTGAAGACCAGTTAAATGGTTCACCAACAAAGTCCCAAAGACACATGATAAATATTTGTTGAATGAGTGAATATCTAATTCTGATTTTCACAATATAAAATTGAATGCATTCAGCGAACTTTTATACAGCCTTCACGCCAGACATTCATAGGGGCTGGAGATAAAAAGCGTTTCTTTGAGGGTTTAAAGATAACTAAAATGCCTTTTCAGAAATGTTTCTGAGAAAACCATTTTTTGAAAAGCTACAGAACCACAATGAAGGAAAAATAATTTAATAGAGTTTCTAGTGTGTCAAGGTTTTGTTTTGTTTTTTTTAACCAAGATTCATGACCAGCTGTCTTTCTGTAGGATTCAAAATGAATTTAAACTGTTAAAGAGGAGTTTATATTAGATAAGAATACTTTTTGACTGAGAAGACATAGTAAACATTTCTTTATTAAGGGTATTTAGGCTATCTTCCAGGTCTCCTTTGAATGATTTAAATGCGGTGCTGCTTTAGATCAGCAACCAAAGGAGTGGGTTGATTGATTTTGGTAATCTTATAAAATGTACTATAAAGTTTCAGGGCCAACTAATTCTACTTCTTTTTTGTCTCCTCCCACCCCCACCAGGGAAAGTTGGACCACCTAAACTGAACATCAGAAAAAAGGAAGACCAAATCACTATTGATATATTTCACCCTTTAGCTAGTGTGCATGCACAGGACCTGGAAGAAATGTATGATGGAGGAGGGCGTTGTGACATATTCACGTACAATGTGTATGTGAAAGTGAATGGAACTCTGGTATGCGTTTGCATTTCATCTTTTTCACAATGGAGATGTTTTCTCTCATTAGCATAAGTTGTTTATGTAGTGTAAAAAAGTCAAATGCTTGTGAATAGTCAGGCAAGACTTACAGTTTCGAGGTTTCGGTAAGAAAATGAAATGATGTATATAAATGCTATTGAACGGAATTGGTGGTGTAGCTACTCACTAACACTGCCCAGGTGAACACCTTTAAGTATTTTTTTTTGTTTGTTTTGTTTGTTTGCCTCATACAACAGCATAGCCCTAATCTAGGATATTAACCTGGATATTTTCATTTCTTAACTGGTAGGCTGAGGATAATTTTAATCTTCCTCATTGGTAGTAATATAAAATCACATGTAACTCTAATTGGAGTCAGTGTTTTTGAGAGGAAAAGCTAACAGTAGTGCTGTGGGGATATCATTACATCCTGGCACTGGTTACGCAGACCACACTTTTATTAGAATCATTCTGTCCCATCCGTTTGCCATGGTGCTGCCTTTCCTTTATCTAACAACACGTGCCAGGCATGTGCTCTGTGCCTTCTGGGCACCAGGAGAGAGCAGTGAAGGATACAAACAAAACTCCAGTGATAAGTGCTATGGAGAAAAAAAGCAGGGAAGAGAGTTGGGCAGTGGGGTCAGGGGCACGGTGATTCTCTGTAGGGCGGCAGAGCAGACCGCCCCTGCTGGACGAGGCATTGCTGGAGCAAGGGCTGGCAGAGGTGAGGGGTGAGCTCCCTGGAGGATGAGGAGGAGGGCGTTTCAGGCAAAGGGCGTGGCAAAGGGGCACTGGGCACGTGAAGGGGAGCAGCGGGGCTGCACCGTGCATGGAAGCAGATGCACTCAGAGAGGTCAGTGGGGTCCACATGTCTCAGGGCACTGGAAGGATTTTACTTTTATTCTAAGTGAGATGTTGCTTTGCACCTCTGGAAAAATCTAAGCAGAAGAGTGACATCTGATTTAGGTTTTAAAACATCTCTTGGATTGCTAGCAGAGTTGTTCCTAAAGTGAATATCTAGCCATGTTACATTGCTGCTTAAAACCCTTTTCCCAAATCACCATCAGCTACAAAATGATACCCGAATTCTCCTTCCTGGTATGGCCTGCAGGGCCTTCATGATTTGGCCGCTTGCATCCTTTCCAGCAACCCTGTCTCCCCATTTCTTCCAGTTTTTATTTTCATTCATGCTTGGGTGAACCACTTGCTGCTCGTAGTTCCCTGTAAGTAGCATGTTCTCTAGTAGAATGTCCTTCCCACTTTCTCTGGCAGATTTTCACTCATTCAGTATTCACTGAAATATCACCTTCCCTTTGACTTCCTTTCGATACAGTGCACTCTTTCCTTTCCTATGGTCTGGTTATGCCTAGTTCCATACAGTTGCCCTCTTGCAGTACTCAGTACTCTTTTACATTTCTTCCTTATCTCTTCTTCCCCATATAGTAAGTTATTTGAGGTCAGGCCCTAGCACAGGTGACCCATACACTTCGGCTGGGTGGATGAGGGTCAGCTCCCCTTCTTCATAGTACTGCCACGGGATTCAACAGCCTTTGCATAATACCTTTATTAGTCTTCCTATAAGATGCTTTTATCTCTCACCAGCTGAGTTTTTAGCGTTATAGAAGTAGGACTAATGAATATTTGTTGACTTAACTAACGGCAAACATTCCTGCTATTTGTGTTTAAAATTTATAATCCCTATAAAGAACATTTCAGTGGACTCATAGCAGCATGCCATGTTGAAGTAACAAACTGACTTACTATTGGATACCAGCACTGCTTTCAGACTCGCGCAACATTCATCACACAGGTGTTTTCTCGCTGTGTTTGGGCAGCGTGAATATGGGGACTGTTTCTTCCAGCCTGAAAGGAGCCATGTGTTTTCATTGTTTCCTTTTTCCACACAGCTCACCCTGAAGGAAGATGACTGCAATGTGACTTGGTGCCATTTAACTGTCCCAGTGTCCTCACTCACTCCCGAGTACTGTATTTCAGCAGAAGGGATCTCCGATATGGAGCTGTGGCCCCTTAAAACTGAAAAGTCCGAAGAACTTTGTTCCCCTATTATTGATCATAAGAGCATAAAAAGTAAGTTCTTACCATTTTTGCCTAAATATAGGGAGTGATAACTAACATAGGATAGTGTGAAAAAAGGAAATTTTCAATTTCAGTAGTCTCTGCCTTTCTTACTGCTTTTAGAGAGAGGGGAAGGGAGTGAGAGAGAGAGAGAAGCATCAGTGTGAGAGAGAAACATCAATTGGTTGCTTCCTGCATGTGCCTCTACCAGAGATCAGACCTGCAACCTAGATAGACACCCTGACCGGGAATTGAACACACAACCTTTTGGTGTACGGAGAGATGCTCCAACCAACTGAGCTACCCAGCCAGGGCATAATCTCTGCTCTTTTAAAAGTAGTTGCATTCCTCAGAGAAGTTCAAAATTGTAAATAAGGCTATTTGTCAGTTGTTAAAAGATATAAAACAACCAGTTTAGAAAGCAATGTGATAACCTTTTCATGCAAGAAAGATAAAGTAATAAACACATAAAACTGTACATAAATGTCTGCATTTCAGGATTATGCATATAAGTCAATTTATTCAATATATCAAGATCGTATATATTCAAGATATACTGTATATTCATGTATGTTCTATATGAGCACAGTAAGTTTAAAAACTGTGTAGTGGGAATGTTGATGGTTTAACATTTTGTGACATGTGAACTGCAGAAGTACTGGAAATTAATATTAAAAAATAAATATAGCCCTGACTGATGTGGCTCAGTGGGTTGGGCATTATCCCGAAAACTGAAGAGTCACCAGTTTGATTCCCTATTGGGGCACATGCCTTGGGGCGTGTGAGAGGCACCGGATTACATGTTTCTCTCCTGTATCGATGTTTCTCTCCCTTTCTCCCCGCTTCTTCTCTTTAAAAAAATGAATAAAATCTTAAAAAAAAGTAAATATAGATCCATTTAAATAATGGATTGTGGGTCATTTTTATAACATTTTAAAATAATTATTTCATCCTTTTGTTGCATGCGGTGGGTGTACATAATAACAGGACTTTGGAACTGTCATTCTCAAGTGGCAGGTGCCATGACAAAAATTGGAGCCTTTTTTGACATTTTGAAATTTAAGTATTCATTATAGATAGTTTATAAAATGTAAAAAGCCAGAAGAAAACAAAATTACCTATAGTTCTACCATCAAAACAAATTCTTAGTTCTCATAGTTCAGTGGGTTTTTCCCATCCTATTTTTCTCTATATAACCATGATGATATTATGTAGTATATATAATTTGGTATACTCATTTAAGCATACATTATAAATATTTTTCCATATTTCACATACTTTATTAATATTATTTTCCAGTGTATGTAGATTATTTCATTAGATTGTATTCTACTTAATGTTCCCCAAATTTTAGACTTTTAGATTATTTATACATTTTTCTCTATAATCATGTTTTGATGACTTTGTGTATGTATCTTTTTTCAATTGTTAGGATATTTTTAGAATATATTTTCTAGGTTAAAAATGTACAAAAGATTTTATGATACAAATATCCTTTTAAGAATGAAAATCTGGGCTGAAGAATCAGACCAAACACTTAAAATGTAGTACTAATAATAACTTGAAGGCCTTTATACGAGGGTTTTAAATGGGTGACTTAAAATAATGCAGAACATTTTATGCCAATTTGCCCAATGCTATTTTAAAATATTAAATCTTAATATACAAAATTTGAAAAGAATGAAAATGACCCAGACTTAACTAAGAAAAAAAACGCCTAAATGATAAACTGGTCGATACTGCAGCCACACGGTGGCACCACCACTGTGGCTCGCCCCTGCCTGCCTGTCAGTGCTCCCGAGCCCCCGCGCTAGTTTTGTTATGCAGTTACTTTTTATCTTTTTACTGCCGTAATACTTTCATTGTCCTCACATCCTCTAACAGGTGTGCTACAAGCATTCATTTAGTAGGGACTTCCAGAATTACTATTCCAAAGAAGTGACTTTGGAGTAGAAATTAAAGGTAATGAAAAGCCGTGAAACAGGCCAGCCACCCCCATGACGTGTAGATATGTTAATCTGTGGGGGAGGAAATGCTGAAAGGAAAGGCGGCCTTAGAGAGCAATATGGAGCAGTGGCTACAAACGCATGGGCTCCGAAACGAGCCTTCTGAAGGAAGCGTGTGGGGCCTGGGCTCCCGTGCAGCTTTCCTGTCTGTGTGGGTGCGTGTGTACGTCTGTGCATCGTCGTGTTTGCAGCCTTCAGTACAAAATGCAGCTAATTCCGTGGAGTGGGACTGGATCATATTAAGAGTTACAGACATTTTATAGAATGATATTTTAATGATTATAGAAATATATTTTTAAAATTCTTTTTTTTTTTTGCCTCTTTGAGATGAAAACGTAACTCTGGAAACCTACATTGGCACTGTAAGGAAATTGTGAGGAAAAGAGCTGTTTTGGCCACGTTGTGCTATGACAGTGTGGTCACAGAAAGTCTGGGGTTGCAGAGCTGGGAAGAAGATGCCGCTGTCGCTGTCGAGGACGGGGACGCAACCTTTCACTCGTCTCTCCTCTGACCTTGGTGCCACCGCTCCGCACCACTGTGACCGTGCTCCCCGCCGCTACCTCTGCAGAGTTGCTCGAAGACTTTAGAATTACTTGATTATAGCAGTAGTCCATTTTCATTCCAATGTGTGGGGTTTTCCCTCTTTTTTTTTCTTTTTTCAGATTCTGTCTGGATTCCAATTGTTGCTGCTGTCCTAATCTTTCTGGTACTTACCCTGGTAGTTGTGTGTTGTAACATCAAGAAAAGAAATCCATTTAAGAGAAAAAGCATCATGTTGCCCAAGTCCTTGGTAATGTATTTAAGTATTTTTCTTTAATTATATATACTAAAATGTTGATTTGAACATTTTTGATAGTTTCTTAAAAATTTTTAGAAGTTAAAGTGATGTTTAGCAGCATGTCACCTATGGAAAGTTACTTAAAACTACCACACATTCAAAACCACATACTTTTCACCACACACTAGGTACCTTTTTATGCATGTGGCAGAAGTACAGTTAGATAAGTCTGTTTAATGAACTTAAAGTCTGGTGGGAGAAGTATTCAGTGGGCGTGCAGTGTGATAGGTTCAACAAAGGAATTATATACGCACCAGCAAGGACTGTGTTCAGAGGCCGTGCCGCGCAGTGCTGAGCGACGGGGAGGGGTTTATCCAGGTACCAGGGGACAGTATGTGCTAAGGTCCAGCATCAGGAAAGCATGGCCTTCGAAAACTTGCAAATACAGAAACATGCCACTGTGGCTGGAGTGTAGAAAGCAATATGGTCAAAAGTGAGATTAAAATGGAAGTTTGACATTCCAATGTCTAACATCTAACATTTAAAATCCTTTGTATGATGAAAAGGACATTTAAACACTAATAATTATAGCTTTCTGAATCAAATATGACAGGAATAATATCTGTGACATTCAAAGGGCACATTTAAATCTATTATGAACACATTACACTTAAATAAAGTAGATAAGAACTATCAACAAGTAGTAGACAATTCACATATATAACACTCATTCTTCCTAGTAATTAAGCACACAGCCATCTCGTATCACACCATTTTACACCCACTGGAGAAGGAAAAATGAACCTGAATACCCAGGAGCAGCAGTAGTTGTACAGCTGGTGTATGATGCTTAAAAGTCGCATAGCCCTGGGGGAAGATAAGCGTACAATGGATACGTAGCATTGTAGCTCCATAAACATGCCACACCTTTGGACTCAGCAATTCCACTCTTAAGAATTTTTTCTGAAAGATAATTTTATAAATAAAAATGTGTAAGAATATTTATTTCAACATGTTCTTAAATAGTAAAATTTGTTAACACTTTAACATCTATTGTTAGATTATTTAATCATCAATGTAAAGAAATTATATGAGCCGATAGAAATTTTGTCTATGAAGGTACATGGTAAAGATACTGTATAAGTAGCTGGACTCCCATTACAAATGAAGTAGGCATACACGTGAAAAATAATACACAAAAATCAACATATACTGTTGAGATAGTAACTTTTAAAAAGTCCTATCTAATCTTAACCTAGTATATTTTCATTAAAAAGAAAGAAAAGGTAACCATCAGATTTTGTTACACTGTCATTCTAAATGTGCCATTTAGTGGTATATTTAGTTGTCCATTAACCCTTAGACCATTTTTTTGAAGATGGGTACATAAGTTTAACAGCTGTTATTTTTAATCTGATTCCTCTTCCTTAGGTATCTGTGGTAAAAATTGCCTCTTCAGAGACAAAAGCTGAGTCAAGATATGTATCACCCATCACCTATGAACCAATTGTCCCTGAAAATGAAAAGGTGGTCTCGGAAGAGCAGTGGTCTCCAGCAACAATTTCAAGTACACAGACTGAAGACGATCCAGGAAAAGTAGAACCCAAAGACCTTTCTAGTGAGACGGAAGTGGTGATCACGGAAGAACACACGTCCGACGTGGCCCCTGGTAGCCCTCTGACTCCAGTGAGGAAGGCGGATTCGGCCCATTCGAGTGGAAGTAACCAGTCCGAACCCTGCAGCATCACTCTAAACGCCTACCACTCCAGAAGTGGTTCTGACAGTGGCGTTGTGGAATCCATCAGCTTCTTGTCTGACTCCGAATCTCCTCCAGATAACAAAACTGAAGTAAATACGGGAGAATCAGAGCCCATAATGCTGAGAAACACTATTACCTCCTTTGGTTATGATAAGCCCCACGTGTTAGTGGATCTGCCTGTGGATGAAGGTGGTAAAGAGTCCCTGATTGGTTACAGAGTTACAGCAGGTTCCAAAGAGCTTTCATAAGATCGACCAAGACGCCAACCCAAAAGGTTCTGCTTGTCCTGCACGGTTTTCTGCTCTGACTTCATGAAAAGATCGTGATTTCAGAAATTGTGTCTTTGTTGACATTAACCAAGTGGAGTGCCTTGGCTTAGGTGAAAGTGTAAAGAGCCGCTTTGGCACTGTCGCATGGGTCTGAAAGCTGCAGTGACTTTAAAGAACAAACCCCGCTTGCATGTGGACCTTTCCGTGTGCCACAGAAGGGTTAGTGGTAACAGCGAACGCTCTCTCATACTCCTGCTTCCTGTGACAGGAAGTCCTTCCCCAGGGTCCTTCCTGACCACCTCAACAGACGTAATGGAGTTTTTTCCTTTCCTCTGGTTCTGTGGGGTTAGGTTTCTGTTTTTGTTTGAAAGTTTATGCACAGTATGGAGTATTTTCAAATGCTTACTTTCAGAAGAAATCCTGGAAGCTTTTCAAAATTGCATTTAAAAGTTGAATGCCAACCAAGAGAAGTAATAAGGAATATGTAAATATTGTAGAAACATGTATATAATTTTTATGGAACATTGCATTTAAAAGCTTTTAAATAAAGATTTGAAAAATTTATTTTGTATTCACTTATTCAAGCATTTAGGCAGTTAGTCACCTGGAACATTTTTAATTCATTTGTTTGTTTCCATGCATTCATGCCAGAGAATCATTTTTTAATTATTCATATATAATCTGTAAAATAGTTCTAAAAATAGTTTAATCCTTAAAAAAATAGTCCTTTTATGTCTATTTCAGTATTTATCATCTAGTTTGCAGAACACTGTTCCAAACACTTTGGCGGGGGCTGGGGGGAGCACATTTATTTCCAGAGCGTGTGGACTGAGGACTCTCTAACAGTGTTGAGATGGTGGTCAGAGCTGTGCAAGTGGGTGTGGGAGCCCTCGGAAGCCTCGGCTGTGAATGGGGAATTCTCCATGAGGGGCAGACAAGAACTAGTTAATGTCTACCTACATTATACAAGGAGTCCTTGGAAATACTAAGAGGATAGGAATTTTAATACTCTAATTAATTAACTAGAAGTTTTTCATTGATATAGCTTAGGTGAGTAAATTAAATAAATTATGGAAAACGATTTCTCCTCAAAAGTGAAAATTAAAATGAGGTGCTCTTTTTGTCTTTCTTGAGTCATGGCTGTGGCATTCAGTCTCTCCTGTCACATGGCATTCTTCCCTTTGTGTCCATTTCCAAATCCCTCTGTAAAGACACTAGTCGTCGGATTAGGGCCACACTGATCCAGTGTGATGGTGTCTTCACTTGGTTAGATCTGCAAAGACACCGTTTCCAAATAAGATCATATTTATAGGTACCAGGGATTAGGACTTCAAAATATCTTATTGGGGAAACACAATTCAATTCATGATATATTTTCACCTGAAAAATTAGTTGTCCCAATAATATTAAATCATACCACTTCTCTGCTGGTTTAAAATGTCACACATCATATGCCACATTCTCAGTACTCCTGGGACTGTGTTTATTGTTCTCCTGTATCTGTATCACACTGTTTCAATTATCATGGGTTTGTACTGGGACATATTTTAACTTTTGAGGCCCTTCATTTCCCTTGCACAGTATACTAAATTGGTCAAGAGCTCATAACTGGGTAAATTACGTAGCCTCATGCGAGTTGTATGAAACTTTCTCTACCTTTTGGGTCCTCTTTTTTTTTTTTAAGATTTTTTATTTATTTTTAGAGAGGGAAGGGAGGGAGAGAGAGAGAGAGAAACATCAATGTGCGGTTGCTGGGGGCCATGGCCTGCAACCCAGGCATGTGCCCTGACTGGGAATCAAACCTGCAACACTTTGGTTTGCAGCCCGTGCTCAATCCACTGAGCTATGCCAGCCAGGGTTTTGGGTCCTCTTATGTTAACTAATAAGGGGATCCTCTTCCTGACCGTCCTGCTTCTTGAGTTAAATCTTTTTTTTTTTTTAAGATTTTTTATTTATTTATTTTTAGGGAGGGAGGGGGAGAGAGAGAGAGAGAAACATCAATGTGCGGTTGCTGGGGGTTATGGCCTGCAACCCAGGAATGTACCCTGGCTGGGAATCGAACCTGGGACACTTTGGTTCCCAGCCCGCGCTCAATCCACTGAGCTACGCCAGCCAGGGCTGAGTTAAATCTTTTCCCTAAACCAAAAGTGGAGTTATTGCATCAGTTCATGCCAAGTTAAATTGCCTAAGATTACTGCCTGTGTCACATTTAAGGTATAGTACTGGTTCTTAATGGATGAGTTGGATAATAAATTCCAACTTTGTAGGGTGATTTGTTAGCTTCATGTACGAGATACCATACTTGCTCTGTATTTTCCCCTTCTGTGTCTTAACATTCTGGGCCTTGGACTCAGCCACTCTCTAGGAGAGCTACCAACCAGGAATGAATGAATGAACAGAAGAACAAATGTATAATTATTGAACTGTTTTCAGAGATACCACAGCTCAAATCATCTTTACAACACCCTATGAAGAAAAATTGCTGTTCCCGTTTAAGGTGAGGAAACCATGAGTCAGCAAGTGACTCGTCCAGTGAACAGTGGAGTGGGGATTCTGTCTCATCACTTTTTTGCCAGCAAATCTCAGCTGCTGCTGGTGGTTATTTGCATTTTGGGTGGTAAGAAATGGTAAGAGAGAGGGTAGAGAATGTATTCCAGGATGCTTAAGGGCTGGCAAGAGACTAAAAGTAGGAATATTTTAGAGGTAGTTAAAAACTAAAGGGAGGGAGGAGGAAGTAAGCGGATAGAGGAAGATAAAGCCAGAGATAGGTATCTGATGATTATCCATGCCGACAGGACGGAAGAAGGATTGCTGGGTTTCAGTGTGTTCCCCATTAAAGACTAATGCTCAGATTTGGGAGATACTTTGAGATACTGGAGACACTTTGAGATTCTCTAGTACGCTCCATAACCCAGGAGCTGAGGAATAAACAACACTAACATTTATTGAGTCCTTACTCTGCCAGGCATTATGCTGAGTGCTTCCCTTGCGCTACCTCATTGCTACATCTCTGTATTTCCTGTTTTTTATAAGTGAAGAAACTAAGGCTTAGAGAGGAAGACTAACTTCCATCGTGTCACATAGCTGGTCAGTGCAAAGCCACGTGTTCAAAGTGAGTGTGATTGGGGTTGCCAGGCTCAAAGATGGAAGGAGGGGGGAACTAGTGCACCACTGAGCAGACTGAGACAGCCCCTCTCTCCTGCTGGTGAGAGGTCAAGAATGGCACGTGCCGAGCATGCGTAAGGGTCAAGTGTGTGAGCCTGAGCAACGAGACATCACTTACTGATACTAACATACCCTGGCTTAAAAATTATAGCTGGGGAAGGGGTGCTTTAAATTCAAAATCTCAGATGGGTCAACTTGAAGTGATTATGTGGTCTAAGAAATCTCTCTTTTTAAAAAAAGATTCTATTTATTTTTCCAGAGAGAAGGGAAGGAGAGAGGGAGAGGGAGAAAAACATCAATGTGTGGTTACTTCTTATGCATGCTCCCTACTAGGGACCTGGCCTGCAACCCAGGCATGTGCCCTGACTGGGAATCAAGCCTGCAACCCTTTGGTTCACAGTCCAGTGCTCAATCCACTGAGCCAAAGCAGCCAATGCAGAAAACTTTTCTCTCAGTCAACATTTATTCAGCACCTACTAAGAGCCAAGCACACACTGGTGGTGGTCCCTATTCTGACTCTGTGTAGAGCAGTGCTTAACTAAGAGCAGGGGCTCCGAAGTCAGACCCTTGTGTAAGAACCCCAACTTTGCTCATCGCCCAGTGAGTGGGAGCCAGCGCTCTTTCCTTCAGTTTGCCGTGAAGCAGGGGTAATAGTACTTCGCTCATACTGTGCTTATGAGATAATCTCGGGAGCCCTTGGCACAATACTTGGCCAGTGGAAACATTTAATAAAAATTAATTACCCTAAGTGTGGGAAGGAAACAATTAAATCATCAAGTTCTTAATGGAAGGGAGCGCTGGACCGCTGCTGGAGTGTGACAAGAGGACCTCACTGAGGTCTGGAGTCAGCTTGGCCTCTTGAGGAAGTAGCATTTAGGCATAAATGAAATGGTGGCTGCCGGACAGTGAGTGGGGAAAGAACTTCCAAACCTAACAAACAGTGAATGTAGGGTCCTGAGCTGCAATTTTTTTTCATATTTGAATGTACATAAGGGTGTTATTTTAATCCCCTTTTGTTCTCTGCTCTTTCAAACTGTCCTTTCATCCTCAGTTCAGCAGGGCCATCGAGCAGAGGCACGCCTCACCCCAGGAGTGATTGCCACTTGCTGGCCCAAGCTAAATGGCTTTGTTTTGCACTGACCCAGATAAGGAAAGACCTAAATGGAGATGTTACAGCTTCCACAGTTGATGTTTCCGACCCAACACCAGCCCTCTGCAATACTAAGGTAGAGCCCCTACTTTGGGGACTGCAGGATTTTTAAACACGGAAATATAATTGGCATATAACATTAGTTTCTGGTGTACAACAGAATGATTTGCTACCTATATCTAATGCAAAATGATCACCACAATAAGTCTACTCAACATCTATCACCACACATAGCAGCATTTTTTTAAAATCTGGTGATGAGAACATGAGAAAGTTGCTCTCTTAGCAACATTCAAATATACGATATAGTATTGTTAACTCTAGCCAACACGCTGTACAATACATCCCCCGATCTAATTTATTTTACAGCTGGAAGTTTGTACCTTTTGAATGTGGGATGTTTAAAAGGGTTCAGGTGAAGAGTCTAGAGACTCCGGAAATCAAATGAACTTGGTGTCCTGGGTTTCCCTGGGCATTTGGGGAGGGACTGTGGGGATAAGCAATAGCATCCTGTGATATTTGAGTACCAGGATGAGGACCCCACTGTAAGTGGGGGAAACTCGAAGAAATATATTTTGAGGGATTTGAACTCAGGTTCCCCCTATCTCCAAAGTCCAGGCTTTTTCCACTTTGGTCTGATGCCTTTAGCTATCTGTACTCAAAAAGAGACATTAAATCTTCCACTTGTCTTTGAATGCACAGCATGCTTTAACTTCGACAACCCTGAAACTAGCTCCAGAAATAGCCTTAGGTGAAGCTGGAAATACATAATAAGTTACTTATTATGGTGCTCACACATAATGCTTCAGTAACTGAGATTAAAAAAAAAAAAGTCATAACTTGAAAAAGGTATTTCCCTAACTGGGTTTCATGAGGATTTTAAAATTTTGCTTAGGAGCTCAGCGTACATCTTGTCGGCCTGGCAGGACACTTAAGCCATTGTCTGGCCATGGTTATTTTTGTTCTTGAATAATAAACTAGCCTCTGCTGCCTTGTCTCCCCACCTGCCAGCTCCCAGCAGGCAAAGTCACAAGGGAGGGGATTTCCACACTGTGCACGGTTGCATAAGGCAGCATCTTTTTCTTCTCTGGAAACCATGCAAAAGCAACAGTGAAGACTAAAATTAGATAGCTTTTCCACTGGGAAATTTCGTTTTTAGTGCTCTTCTTTAAAACCTTGGGATCAGAGAAAGTAATCTAAGTTGTAAATTGTTAAAGGAAAAAAATAAAGAAAATATCTCACTTCAGAGCCAAAGAGAGAGCCTCTGGGATGCGTTTCAGAGTAAATTCCTGATGTGAATACTTGTATTAATGTAAGATGAGGAATAAAACAAACAAAAAACATCTGACTCAAGGAGTTCTTATAAAAATAATAAACAAATTCCATGAAAGACAGAAAGAAAGAATTTTAAAAGGTGAAAGAAGATATGAATGAGAGATAACATTTTTTAAAAAGTAGTTACAAAATCTGGTTCCTTGAAAAATATTAAAGATAAATAACTAGCTAACAACTAAAAAATAAGAATAGGGTGACAATATTATTACTTAAGATAGAAAATTATAAAAGGGAAACCACAGAAGCAGGGGAAATTAAATACCTCTTCAGGGAATAATTTGCTCAAATGTGCAAATAAATGGAAGAGCATGAATGAAATGGACACACTTCTAAAGTCCATATAATTTGTAGAAACTGAACCTGCAAGAGATTGGAAATCTAAAAAGACTAATGATCCCAGGAGAATTAGAACTAGAAAACTGCCAAGGAAATGCCACACCCCTGGTTCCCTGTACCCCACCTGGAAAAGCACCCAGACGATTTCTCTGGGGAGCAGCTAATTCCTAGGTCACACACATTAACTGGTCCCGCAGAAGAGTCGGCCATGGCGCCACTCAGTGTTGCTTGTGTGTGTCTGACTGAACCCCAGTGGCCTCACAGACCAAAGAGCCCATCAGGACAGCCATCCCAGGCCATAAAAGAGCAGAGAAGCATCTTCCTGTTCTTTTAGGTTAAATCTTGTAAATTCATGCCCACTCCTAATATCATACTCATTTTCACCAATTCACCAGACATTTACTAAGTGAACATGACGTACAATATCGTCTCAGGAAGAGCATTCAAGCAGAGGGGACAACCAGTAAAAGGTCCCAGTGTGGGGATGTGCCTGGCATGTTGGAGAAACAACAAAAACACCATCCCTGCTGGAGCACCAAGGGTTAGGAAGAGAGCTGTGGGAGATGAATTTAGAATTAACAGGGCCAGGTAATACCTCAACCTTGCAGGCAATGGTGAAAACTTTGACTTTTTCATTCTGAGGGAGATGGGAAGGCATCGGAGGGTTCTGAGCAAAGGCTCTGACCTGACATTTGAAAGGAACAGCCCTCCCCCCACCCCCATGTACAGGACAGTGGCAGAGGCAGGGAGAATAGAAAGGAGGCTGCAGCCACAGATCAGGCAGGAGATGATGGTGGTGGGGACCCAAGGGGTGCAGTGGCGAGGATGGCAACTGGCTGGATTCTGATCATGCCACGAAAATCTTTCTAGAGTCGAACAATGTACAGGCACGTGCTAGGGCACTGTGAGGCTCATTCAGTGGAATTTTCAAGATCAGTGAAAGACCTTGGTCAAGGACAATCAAAACAATAGCATCTTTTGTCCAGAAAAAATATGAATGAAGAACAGAAAAAGTTATCTTAATGAAGCCTTAAGTCCTATGAATGGAGATTTTAAATAATATATTAGTGTTCATAGTCTGAAAATCAATCAAGATTAAAGTTGATCAGATGGATCATTGTGTTGATTGCCTGTATTTGACAATGAAGTTCTTTTTTTTTTTTTTAATTCAAGTCCATAAACTATTTTGGAATGCATGACAATTATTTCCAGAATGCAGAACTGCTTAAGGTCATAGGTGTTCCTCAGGAGAGTTATGAGGGTTCAGCAGACGAGAAAGGACAAAATAATTTCCCAGGTGTTATTACTATAAGCACGATTCTCTGCTGGCCTGAGGGGGAGAAGGATGGTGTTCACGTTGCAATTCATTGTAGACCTTCAGAAAGCTCTCCTGCTGCTTATTAAATCACAGGATGAGGGAGCAGAAACCGGTTCCATCTGACCCCTTGGATACACCCCCCAGTGAAACAACCCAGAAGATCAGTTTTTAAACACTTTTCTGAAGACGAATATGGAACACATGGCCTTTCGCTACCCAGCCCTGGCTGAGGAAACTGACACCGGCTCCGTGGGGACTGGCTCCGCCCCCTTGCTCAAGGCCGCTGGCCTGCCACGGGGCCTGGTGTGCAGCAGGTGCCTGGTGAACGGACTCTGTTCTCTTCTTCCCTCCTTGTGGCTTCCAGCAGGCCAATAAGTCATCCAATTAATGAATCATGATTAATTGTTTTTAAATATGATACTGGATTCTGGTTATAACTGGTATTATTATTTTTTAGAGACACATTGAAGTATTACAGATGATATGACAGCATGTCTGGGGTTTGCTTCAAAATAATCCAAGGGGTTGGGGGAGAGGGCCATTGAGCTGATGATTGTTGAAACTGGGCATTTAAGTACGTAGAGGTTCGTTATGCTCTCTACTTTTGAAGCAATTCTATACAAAGCATGCTCCCAAATTGGTGGGATTTTATAATTTAATTGTATCTTTTCATCTACATTGAGGCATTGTCACTGTTGGCTTTTTGCAGGTGTGGTGTTGCACACTTAGAGAGCTCACTGAATGCTAACAGGACAGGTTTGGTTTCTGAAATTTAACATGGCACAAAAGCTCACACATTTGAGAGAATTCGGGTTTTAGTATATTGTATGCTCTTCTCCCCCCACCCAATTTTCCTTTATTTGTTCTACAAAGTCGGTAACCCAGTGGAAACCCAGATTTCATTCTCTGCTTCCCTGCTTATTAAACCTTGAATTCAAATATTTTTTTCCTTGACTGGAATTTGGAGCAATTTGCTTCAAAACAAGAGCTATTGGTGTGGAAAATATGAAACATCAATAGTGCAAATACAGATTATCATCTCCCCTTTAATACCAATGCTGTTGTCCTGGCCAAGTGGCTCAGTTGGTTGGAGCGTCATCCTGTACACCAAAAGGTTGCAGGTTTGATTCCTGGTCAGGGCACATATAGGAGGCAGCCGATTGTTGTTTCTCTCTCCCATCAGTGTTTCTCTCTCTCTCTCTCTCTCTCTCTCTCTCTTCCTCCCTTCCTCTCTCTCTAAAATCAATTAAAAATATATATCCCCAAGTGAAGATTAAAAACTAACTAAATAACTAAGTATCAGCATTATTGCGAAGTCTGGATTTCAGAGGGTGTTATCAGCAAGTAAGTGAAGAATGATGTTGCTAAGGCTAGAAGGTAAGGAGCACCAAGAAGGTACAAAGGGAATGAACCTGAGATATGCTGCAGGTTTCTTCTTTGAAAACCTGAGTTACCTTATAAGCAATGGAAACTTCACTTGGAGAAGAGGGAAATGAGGAGTCTAGATTCAGAAGTCGGATACAGCATGAAGGCACTAGGAAACCCGGTGTTATCTTCATGTACTGCAATAGCTCTGTTTCCCCCTTTCGAGGTGGGTTTTGGGAAGGCAGGGGCAATGTCTCTGTTATTTCCTGCTGCAACCTTGCTGTTGAGAACAATGCCTAGCACACAATAGTGCAGCACATATGTGTTTAATTATTGAATGAATGAATGAATGAATGAGTCAGTACTGCTCAGCAGCCATCACTACTCTTTACTAAATAGACTGTTCTACCAAGAACTTGAGACTACACAAAAGGAAAAAGAAGACAGAATATATTTCCTCTTTTGAGCCTCTTTAAAAAATATCTTTGACTCTCTTGTGCTTTAGTGTACAGTTTTAGTGCCTGTAAAGATATGTGATAAATTTTGGGGGGTAAGAAAGAAGATATAATGAATCATGGGCAGAGAACAGATGACCTAGTTTGATCAGATTTCTAAGAAGATATGGAAAAGATCTAATACAGCTCAAAATGATTTCTCCACTTCATCCTTTTAAGGACTCATTTGGTTTGACATACTCAAAAGTTACTCAAAATATTTATCAGATTTGTGGGCACTGAGGGGTGGGAATTCAAAGGAAGAGGCATTGCTTGCATGGGGCTCAAGGCCACCATAGACTGGGAAGACCAATTTTGTGGCAGTGAGCCCTGAGGAGAGGCAGAGGGTGTGGAGGGTATGAGGTACACCCGGGACATTAGTCAGAGAGCTTCCAATAAGGGAGGACTCACTTCCTTTGAACAGATAGCTGTAACTGCCAAGCACTTGACTCAGAATCAGCGTATCAACAAAATTGGGGCTGGCACCTTTGCCTCTAGGGCTCAGATTCCAAGATTTCATGAGTTCCTCCATCCACTCACCTGTGAGCCCCTTGTGCAATCCCTGCCCTGCCCTGCCCTCCACCAATCCGCAGTGGGGTGTTTTTTTTGGCTTTTGTACAGTTCATGAATCCTTAATCCCTGCAAAGTCAAGCTTCCGCATCAAAGTGACTTATAGCAGATGTCCTTGGAAGCAACTGTTTTTCACTTTCATAATTTCCCAAATGATAATAAAATGTATTAACAAATGCAATTTCTGATTGCTCCAAGAAACCACTGTTAAACTCGCGTGAAGATGCTCCTCCGCACGAGGATTCTGACTTCCTTTTTTGTTCAGAGCTGTGCTCTCATTCGGGGGAAGGCTGGTGGCCAGACCAGCCCCACTCGCAACCATGACGCCTAAACACAGCCTTCTAGGCTTCCTCGTCAGTTTCTTCCTGACAGGTGTAGCAGGTAAGTGCTTCATTTCTTTTTAACTGCTCACAGTTTTGTCATCTGAGTGTGTTCAAGGGACTGTTCGAAATGGCACTGATGCTTTCCTGGGCTCTGTAAAAACTTCAGCTTTCTTCTGTCACAAAATGATGAGCACAGATGTAGAGTCAGTTTCTATCTGGAGCCTGAATAAACCCACGTGGGCTTATGGAGTGGCTGCTACCGAGGAGGCACTCCTAGTGGGCACAAAACACTTCATGAGGCCCAACGCGCACCCACCTCTGTCTCCTCGCCACTTCCTTTGCCTTCGGGGGACGTGGTAGCGTAGTGGGTACAAGCAGTCCTCTAAGTCAGACTGCCTGAGTCTGGATGTCAGCTCTGCCATTTACTCTTTAAAAAAACTTGGGCAACTGACTTACTATTACCCCTATGCCTCAAATTTCTCATCCGTGGAAGGGGAATCTTATGCATCCTGAGGATTAAATGAATTAATATATGCTAAGTACTTAGAGCTGTGCCTGGCACAGACTAGTAACAGTAAAAAACATATAAGAATTTGCTCTTGGTATTCATGGAGAACTCTTCAAGAGCAGAGACCATTTATCACCCCAACACACCTCTGAGCAAGGGCATCAGAAACCCTGGTTAACAGATGGGTACCTGTCAGTGTAAGTGCCTCAAGTAAGTTTCCTGAAACTGTGCAGTTGCCTAGTGATGGATAACATAAAAACAGTTCAAGCCTCCATCTCCCAGGATGGCATGGAGTTATGTGGAATATGCTTTTGGTCCTTGGTAGTACCGAGGACTGAATTAGCATATATGGCAGGAACCCGTATGCTGCTGAAATGATCCTGGCTCTGCAGCTTACCAGAACAGTAACCTTGGGCAAGATACGCAACTTCTTTCAGGCTCAGTTTCCCTATTGTAAAAACAAGAATAAAAATACCTGCCTTATTTGGTGTTGGTGGGAATGCAATAAATAAGAAGTAAAGCTTTAAGCATCATGCCTGATACATGTTTAATATTCATATATGTTCAGTGTTCAATGACTGCCAGCTGGGAGGAGGAGGGAAAGGAGGAGGAAGAATACCTCCAGCCTGTAGGTGTTTTGCTCTCCATTAGCTCCCCTCTCCTGAGGCTTTGTTCTTGGTTTTCTGTGGTGACAGGCGGGCTCCGGAGTTTGTTGCTGCTCAAGTTCCTTCCGCTCCTCAGGGCTTAGTTTTTAGTCCGTAAGAGGAAGATCACAATAGTACGTTTTTCACAGAAGAGCCACGCAGATTACAGGAGTTACTGTAAAAGCCCCCGAGTGTCCGGTACACAGTGTCTTGATGGTCATGATGAGAGAAGAAGTCCCTGGACAAGTGAGATAAGGGGCCCTGAGCCATGCCTCTTCAGAGCAGCGTCGAGTCTAGGCAAGGGCTTTGTGCGTGTGTGCCTGTCAGCTCCTAAAAACTTTTGGAATTTTTATGTACTAAATATGATTGGTTAGGTAGCAGTTTTGGTGAGTAAAATTAATGGTGGCAATGGACTCTTTCCAAGTACATGCCACCATTTGAGGTACTGAAGGAGGCCCAGAAAATAAATCCCCTCCTCAAATAACAGTATTACCACTATTCGGTTCATAGAAAAACACCTTAGGAAATAACAAATCTTTAGTGTTCAGAAATGAGGTCATGGGCTTAGGAGTGTTTGCTTCCACTTCAATGATATTTGAGCAAAGAGTTGAGGTATGTGGGTATTCCAGGAAAAGGGAAGGACTTTTGCAGAGACCCTCGGTGGAGACCACACCCACCGCCGTGGAGCAGGAAGAGAAAATGAGGTCGGGGAAAAACAGGGTATGTTCCTGACTCCTCCATCTGGCCCACTTCCTACCCCTTTTCAGAAACTTTGGGTCTGCCGAGGAGGTAAAGCTTTACCTCTGCACATCTTAGGTTTATGGCTGGGATTGTTTAACAAAAAGAAATATTAACAAGAGAAAAACAACTTATTAATGCATGCAGAGCACATCACAAAGGAGAAACCTAAATGAAGAGTAACTCCAAATGGTGGGTTAGAATGATATATATTAGGTGTCAGAACTTTAAATGTTAGATGTGAAATGTTAGAACATTTTTATCTTACATAGTATCTTCAGGGGAAAAAATACATTTGTAGAGACATGACAGGAGAAATGCAAACAGTTTTAGCCTTCCAAAAGTAGAAAACTCTGGAAAAGTTAAATATGGGACAGGAAGCTGGATAGTTTGCAGATTCCTCAGGTGCCATCTCCAGGTTGACAGGAATCTGTCTTCAGCAAAAGGAAACTTCATGTCCTGCCTTTCGGCAGAAAAGGGGGAAGGTTTAAAAAGGCTTTCCTGCCCTGGCTGGCATAGCTCAGTGGATTGAGCTCAGGCTGAGAACCAAAGTGTTGCAGGTTCAATTCCCAGTCAGGGTGCATGCCTGGGTTGCAGGCCATGACCCCCAGCAACCGCACATTGATGTTTCTCTCTCTCTCTCTCCCTCCCTTCTCTCTCTAAAAATAAATAAATAAAATCTTTTTTAAAAATCTAAAAAAAAAGGTTTTCCTGAATATGTTGCTTACTTGCCTTGAGCTCACAATAATTTTCATGGCAAAGATACATATTTGGGAGTGACATTCTGGTTTTCTCCCGATTCTAGAAGAACATTTTGTCAAAGGTCTCTTGCCTCCATGGGACTCAGTGCAGGTGAGCCTGGGCCACCCATGCCACATGACCCGAGGAGGCAAGAACAAGCCATGTCAGTGCACAGTTATCCCCCTTCCTGCCACGATTGCTGTTGAGACCCTTCTCAGGGACACTAGGCCCCACAGCAGGGCCTGGCAGTCTCCCTCGATAGCATCTACCAGTTTGGGCAACTGTGCTGGGCCGCCTGAAGCCGGGATGCAGGCAGGTGAGCACAGCCATTCAGGAGTAGGACAGCAAAACCGATGACCTGGAACACAGCGAGGTCGCTGGGAGCGGGGAGGACACTGAGGCAGGACCCAGAGGTTGAGCAAGAGCCTGAGAAAGGAGGAACCAAGTGCTGGCCTGAGGTTCTGGAGCCAGAAGTGATCCCAGGCGAAATTCTGCCCCAGAGCAGCAGAATACGGCGGCTCCCAGGCAGGCGTGCGGGCGGCCTCGGTGGGGTCTTTCATCTCAGTCATTACATTCTGTGGCCATCGGGGAAGGGACTAAAGACAGTATTTTCTCACTGCTATTTACCTCCTCCACCGTTTGGGAATGGGGTGGGAGGATGTATCACTTACATGTTTTTAGTCTGAAGCACAATTGTTCTGAAACTCCAGCGTGCATAAAATGATCACATTGAAGATTCAAAATGTTGATTTCTGGGCTCCACTTCCACCATCTGCAATGAAAGCGATGACTTTAGGAAATCTCGACTCAGGTATTACATTGAAAACTACTGCTAATAGCAATAGCACCCATATCAATTTTCGGTGCTTTTCCTTTTCTTATTATTTTAGACACCCATCCAGCCCACGAGTCTCTGAAGCCTCAGAGAGTACATTTTCAGTCCCGAAATTTTCGCAACGTTCTGCACTGGCAGCCTGGGAGGGCTGGCCCCGGCAACAGCAGTATCTACTTTGTGCAATATAAAATGTAAGTAATTTGAGTTTTCTCCAGCTGATGGACATGGCCACTGGGAGAACATGGTCTAGAATGCAATGGAGTTTTAGAATCTGAGCTTTTTTTTCAGTTTCAGAGAGATTGAGAAAAAGCAGAGGTAGGGACAGGATTGTCTTCTCTCCCCTGAAGGCTACCTGGTGACGCAAAACACGTGATGCCATGCAGCTTGTCGGGGACATACGTCAGCCCTTGAAAACCCAGCACCGAGCCCTAACATGCTGCGCCTTCGGCATCACAACAGAGTCTGCACGCGGTGGACTCTCAGCACGTGTTTGTCAAGGGAGCGTTAGAAACAACTTGCTTAGCACATAGTAGGCACTTAACTAAGTTGACATTATTGACACTTGAAAAAGAAGTTGTGGGACACCTGGAGGTCAGTGTGTAAGATACATTTTTATCTTAACAGTCATTTTTCTTAGAGTGGGTTTACTATTTAGGAAATCCATTTCAAAAATTAATGACTCCTGTAAGCTTGAGCACGAACTGGAACGTGCTGATGCGTGTTCCTCTCGTGTGGTCTCCCAGCCAGTTCAGGGGCATCGCTGCCAAAGCGTAGATACAATCCATGCCTCTCCTGAGCGGAGGCCTGGAAACAGGGGTTCCTGGTTTGCAAACGGCAGGTTTTACCACTCGTACATTTCCTGGGTTGGTTGGTTTGTTGTTGGTTTTTGAGGTTCTTCCTTCTCTTACATACTTTGCTGTGCTGGCTGGGCATGAGACAGGAGTTGTTATGGTGTCATTTTCAAGGTGTTTCATCAGGCATTCAGAAAATCAGATGCAGCTATGGGCCCAAATAACAATTTGTATTCCATAAATTGTCTCTCCATCATGATTTCATCGTGTCTCTCCAGCATGGAGTTAAGTCCAAGGTCAGATTTTTTCACTAACTAACTTCTCACTAACTGCAGAAGGGATATTCCTAGAAGTTTATCAGTCTTTAACTGCTGCTACTTTTCTTACATTTGGGTATAATTTACAAATCTTTACAGTAAATATTTCTCCATTCCAAGAACAGACTTGTGCATATTTGGAAATCCTTCCTGCATGCCGGAAGCTGGGATTGGTGCTCTTTTTGTCCTCCTTCCCCCGTAGGCAGTCTAAATAGCTCCAAAGTGGGCCTGCTGGTGGCCCAACATAAAACAGTGAGTTCTCATGATACTAATTAAGGTTAAAATTTAGGGCAACATGTAAGAATTGTATATTCACAATACTTTTTTTAAAGAGAACTCCCAAAGTTGAATAAAATTCAGACTGCCCGGATCTGTTCTTAGCTCTGTGGTATTTTCCAAAGCACAATGCGGATTTATGTTTTTGAAACCTTTCACTTTGGCCCTATCCAGTGCACGTGAGACTACGGTTACTGTCTGTCCTGTGTGGGACAGGACAAAAGGACAAAGTGTCACATTAAAAGAGAGGCCAGTCATCACAGCTGAATTCAGTAAAGACAATGTCTTATCAACACACAGCAATTAAAAATCATTAAATTGTGCTCAACCTGTGTTGTTGGTTCTGTTTTAATGTTACCTCCTGATATAAGAAAACTGCTGATACATCGTTTACAAAGTAAAGACATTAGCCTATTCCTCATTCTGTGGAACGTCATAGATTTCAAGCCCTCTAACAAGTATTTTGGAAGACTTTCTCCCAGCCTCTAATTCCTGCTCTGCTCTCACCATCATCTTGCTGCATTGTCTTTGATTTGTCACTGATAAGGAAGTAAACATTAATCTTCCCTTTTGCTGCTACCCTATCCCCGAGTCTCAGGATGAATCAATCTATCTGCCTCTGCCTCACTAACTTTTTTTTAACTTTCATGGTTACTCCTCCCTCTCTTCCAGCTCCTTATTACTAGACTCCTTATACAGCCCTAACTACAATCCCCACTTGATTTTCAATAAAGAAATTGACTGTATGTGTTGGCTAAGCATCACCTGAGATCAAACATAGTAGCAACTTCTCAGAATCAACCACATTACTCAAAAACAAGCTGATGAGAAGTGAAGAAAACCACAGAGTTGAAACCTCTGAAGCATTAAGGATGTGGAGAGCTAGTTTTCAAAAACAGAAGTTGGTCCATACAACAGAAGAAAAACTGCACTAAGTATACAAATATTTATAGAAGGTTTCAGGCTCAAGTTTATCTTTCAGCAAGAGATTCCTCTGGTTAACCTGAAGAAATCTTTTTAAGAATACTCTGGAGTAGCCATAAGCTTTCACAGTAGTACTGACATTGGAGGGTAATTTTCAACCAGTCCGAAAAACCAACAGACTGAAAAAACTGCAGACTCATTCAATGGAACAAAGAAACTCAGGTATTTCTCTTCTCCCTTCTATAGGTATGGACAGACACAATGGAAGAATAAAGAGAACTGTTGGGGTATTCAAGAATTCTTTTGCGACCTTACCAATGAAACCTCAGATGTCCAGGAGGCTTACTACGGGAGGGTGAGGACAGCCTTGGCTGGGATCCCCTCTGGCTGGACCATGACGCGGAGGTTCACTCCCTGGTGGGAAAGTGAGTTCCATGAGTTCCTTTGCATTTGCTTTTCTTGCCCTTGAATAGCCCTCATAGAGCGCGGCCAGCTGTGAGGCTCCGTGCTTTGTGGAGGTCCACGCCATCGTTTTACTGGATCTAATACTCAGAGCAATGCTACAAGATGGTGTTCACTCTCCCTATTTCCCAGGCCAGAAAATCAAGGCACAGAGGCTTCAGTAGTTGCCCGGGTCCAACAGCCTGTATAACCTCCATCAGGATTCAAGTTCCGCTGCATCTGACTGCAGAGCCGACACTGTATCCCTCTGCCAGATTGTTACCTCCTGGGTTAAAAGAAAAAAAAGAGTTTTAGACAGCAGAAAGGAGCTGTATGACCCTAAACCCCTCCTAAGAATGGAGGTTAAGTTCCTGAAAATAATCATTGGAAGAAGAATATCATAATCTAAGATGTAAATTAAAAAATAAATCATTACCAACAGACCTTATATAAAAGAGTAGACAAAAAGGAAAGAGGAAAGAGAAAAAAGAAAGTGTTTAATGTATATGTACACAGATACTCATAGCAAAACAGGAAAGAACATAAAGCGTTTATTATAGTCCTTGTAGCTGCCACCATCATGGAGCTTTTGTTAATATTTATAACTTCTCTCATTATTAAATCAACGTTCACTTTGTTTCCAGCCAGCACCTCAGCTCTTCAGTCTGGAGGAATTTGAATCTTTTTGGCCTTTCCTGTGTAAGCTTGACAGAATCTTACATTAATTTTTTGTCACAGGATACAGAGCTCTAAGAGGTGCCTCAGAGGACACCACACACACTTCTCTCTGTCCCCACTGTATCTATAGCAATTCTATTTCTCTCTCATAACCAGAACACATTGTCCTAGACAACACAGGGACCTCATTTTCTCCTTGTTGCTTAAATGCCTCCAAGAGCTTCAAACAGTTAGGAGGAAGCCTTACCTTCCAATTCTTTCAAACCTTTGCTGTTATAACCAAAAGGATTGAGGATCAGGTACATGGGAAACAACTACTTCATACGCCATTCACTATGGGAATTGCCCCTCCCACTCCCACATCCTGTATCTTAAACCAGTGAATTCTGTCTATGGAAGAAATAGCGCTATATATCATTGGTCACACAATTAGAACATACACCAATTCATAGATGGCTTCTCAAGGTGTTGTCTCCCAAACTGAGCTTTCCATTATCCACTTTACTCTTCTGTAAAGCCATGGGCTGCTGAGTGATGACATATATGGTAAGGCTTCACTTCTTCCACATTCGCTTAGTTCTTCTGTCATAAGTAATACATTGTGGGCCACCAGCCTCATGAGTAAGGTGTCCGTTGCATCCGTGGAGGGGGAGTGGTCAGGGAGATTGCTCATGAAAGCACTGAAGCAGGGAAGACAAATCTACAGTCAGAAAAGTACCTATTCCAGCATCACTTGTCCCTTCCCTGTTGAGATGAATCAAAAAATCTACCATATAAAAGGAACTATACACTAGACTTGGTTCATCTTACTGGGAAACTGGACACTCAGCCGTGTCAGTGAAGCCTTGGCAAGAGGAAGTTCGGACTGTTGAGTGTATATTTGGTCTCCATCCATTTCTCACCACCGCTTTGTTCCTGAATGTACCAAGCAAGTATATATAGGTCATTGGGAAACTAGGTCTGAATTGCCCCTGCCTAGATTTTTTAAAACAGCTTCTTAAAACAGCTTTATAGATATAATCACACCTTTATAATTACCCATACCATGTGGACAATTCAATTTTTAAGTATATTCACAGATACTTACAACCATCACCCACACTCAATTTTAGAACATTTTTATCACCTAAAAAGAAAACTCCAAACACATTGACGTCACCCTCCTATTCCTTTGCTTTTCCAGCCCTGCAGCCCTAAGCAACACCAGTCCACTTTCTGTCTCTGTAATATTCCCCTTTTTGACATTTCATATGAATGGAATCATATAATTTGTGGCCTTTGGTGACTGGCCTCTTTCATGTAGGATAATGTTTTCAAGGTTCATCTATGTTTCATCATGTTTTAGTACTTTGTTTCTTTCTGGGGATGAATAATATCCCAGTCTCTGGATATACCACATTTTGTGTACTCATTCCTCAGTTGTGGACATTTGAGTGGTTTCCACCTCTGGACTATTATGAATCGTGCTCCTCTAGACATCCGTGTACGAGTTTTTGTGCAGACATGTGCTTTTATGTCTTTGTGGTACATACCTTAGCAATGGGATTGCTGGGCCACGTGGTCATCTGTGTGTAATCATTGGAAGAACTGCTGGTCTGTTTTCCAAAGCGGCTGTGCCATTTTACATTCCCATGAGGTTCTGACTTACCCACATTCCCAGAAACACTTACCTGACTTTTCCATTACAAAACTTCAGGTAAGTGTTGCTGAGGATGTAGAGACATCAACACTCAAAAGCTCAAAAGCTCATGGGGCACTTTGCAAATGGGTAGCGCAACTCAATGTGGTGTGTGTTCATCCAAAAGTCATAGACGTCTAGAGGTCAAGCCCAGGGAAAGTTTCTCAGCACTAGGGGTGCAAAGTAAAGCCACTTGTCTTTTCCTAGAGAGGAAATGTCTAAACAAGCCCCAGAGGAAATCTAAATCCAACATTTTGCTCTTAAAGCCCCTGTAGTGCCTAGTACTTCAGGCACAGCAAAGGCAATCAGTGTCGTGTGATCAGTTTAGTGGACCAACCTGACATCCTGTGACAGGATCAATGACTCCGTACATTATCTGCGCCAGAGAGCCAGCCCGACTCTGAAAGTCATGTGAAGGGAACTGTTCTGGTACTTTCTAATTCTTGGACAAAGGAAGAGAAAAAATCATTCTCTCAAGCAGTAACTGTACATTAAAGACTGTGCTGGTGGGCTGCAGAACAGAGATGCTATAACGAATAGAAATCACACCACGGTCACCATCTGAGCACCTTTACAACGACCCCTTTTATTATTCAATCTTTTTTTTGGGGGGGGCGGGGTATAATTCCAATAAATGAGTTAAATGGGGAAGTGATGCATCTTACTGCCTCTGCATCATTCGAGGTGTTTGTGATGCACGAAACTCTGCAGTGTCCCCAGGGATACAACGGTACTTTTGATTTCCTATTTTGTTCAAAGGAAGAATTCCATTGGCTTCTATTTGACCTTTCATCTCATAGTAAGTTTCATGCCACAGCTCAGAAAACCAAAGTGGAAATCGATTCTGTTAGCCATATGCATCTATATCTCATTGAATTTGTTTTTATTACCTGACAGCTATAAAAACCTGCGGTGCATTCCAAATCCCCAAGGATTACTATCAGCTCAGAATCAGGATCCATTATTAGGCAAAGCAACTGTACTTACCTTTCTCCATTTTGCAATTACCCCCATGGAAAGATGAAAGAAGATTTATCTTAAAACTTGCAGCATTATTACCTCACTTGCCTTCCAGATCTCACCCTAATGATCTTGTTACAGAACAAAGGGGCCAAAGTGGGGTCGATATACTATTACCGAAAGGAACCCCCCTGGTTCGTTATGTCCGCCACCTTATAGGAAAGACATCTCTCAATGCCACAGATTTGTGAAAAGGAAAGAAAATGTTTATCTAATGCTATACAGACTTAAAGTAGTGACCTAATGTCTTCATCAAAATCCCAAAGTCCCTTAAAACACCCACAAACACACACACAGTCCTTCCTTCCCCCGCTTTGCCCAGTCTGGGGTACCGTATCTCAGGAAAAGAAATAGAAGTCCGTGACTCAGGCAGCCCCTGGTTCTTTCCAGTAATCCATCTCGGCTGGTAGGCCTCCCTCGGTTCCCAGCACCATCAGCTGTGTCTCCAGTATCTCTGCTAAAGCTGAGTAGTGGTTCCCCCTACTAAAGCTATGGGAGTCCCCACTCTGGCAAAGCCACGTGGTTCTCCCCTCCATTGCCACAGCTGCATGGTTCTCTCACCACAATGGCTGCGAGGAGGGGCGTCACCACTCTGCCACAGCGAGTGGTGGTTGTCTCTTCACAATGGCCAAGGGAGTCCCCACTCTGACAAAGCCACGTGGTCCTACCTCCAATGGCTGCCATGTCTGGGTTTAAATCCCCACACCAATCTTCCTCTATAGCTCCTCCCACAATCAGATACACTTGCCAGCACTCCCATATCCTTCCAGCTTCACTGGGCTGCCATAGTGGGTGTGGGCAGGATTGGCCCCATGTCATGGAATCAATCATCTCCAAGCTCCCACGCAGGCACTGTAACTGGGGGACCTACCCCCCAGTTACATCTTGGTGGAGAAGTTACTTCCATCCCCCTGGCTCAGAGCAGGGCCACAGCTATTTAACATATCTAAGCAACCAGTTAAAGGTTATAGATATGTTAAATGTCCAGGCCAGAGGTTAGCTGCAAAACTGTTGCTATGCAAAACAGCTCTCAATGACCCTGCTCCATATGTCCCTTCCCCCAGCTCACACCTGTGGGGGAAGGGGTGAGGACATCCTAATATTTCCTGGACACCTTGAGTTCTGGACCCCATTCCAAATCCCTATTTGGGGCCCCCTCTTGGCTGCACTCTGTGACAATCTAACTGGTACGATGCCCGTTTTCTCTTCCTTCAACCAGCAGGGGAGCAGAATGAGAATTAAGCCAACCAATCCTTGGTACCCAGCACATTGTTTCTTGGGATAACTTGAAATTTGAGCTCAAACCACTGCACCCATGATTCTCTTGACGAGGGAAAGGAGATTGTGTGACTAAGCTGGTATACTCCAGTGAGGGGAATTTTTCAGGGTAGTGTGCTTATTGATTTCAAGCCTAGAAAGGGGGTCCAGTTGAAATTTATCCATCAAACAAAGCCTTCTTAATTATGACCCATTAGGATATTTGGTAACATTAGCCAAAGAGATTGGCTGAGATGAGGTGAAGCTGTGGCTCAGTTATATTTAAATTGAGATAGTGTGGAGTTAAGAATGGTTTGTATTAATTCTAGGCCCTATTAAGAAAAAAAAATTAAAAAGCTTTATGCCAGGACCTTATAGGTAGAAGGATAAGAAAACCAGTGTATAAAAATAAAACAGTGAAAATCTGAGCGACTTTGGCTGAAACAACAGTGAGAGCCCCTCCTGCTCTGCCATCTCCTCACCCTCCAACTTGGCCTTCTCCCGCCACAGACCCTGAGGCTTTCTGAGGACACGTTTTAGAAAACGCAGTTCTAGGATGTTAGGACAGCATGTTCCTAGAGTCTGCGGAATGGGCCTAAGGAGCCAACTGGATGTACTGACCTACCTGGGAACTATTTCTGAGTAGTGGGCATCATTTTAGGTTACCAGGTTCTGGTTCCTGGTATCTATCTAGAGACAAAGCAATATTTTTTTTAAAAAGTTGCTTAAGTTAAAAGCAGCATTTGAGGTTTCAGACACCTAGGGGAAATGTTTATACAGATCCAGGACTACTAGAGACACAAATTTGTGGGTCATTTGCATATAGTACAATAAGCACTAATAGAATTGTCTAGGAAGAGAATATTGTCTGGGAGGGAATGTTGAGTAGTAAGAGCAGGTATTAAGGGAATCCTGACAAAAGATGCCTTAGTTGGGGAGGCAGATCTTAAAAGGAGACTGGGAAGAAATAAGTGTACTTTTACAGCTAAAACAGAATCTCTTAGTCTTTGTAAATAAAGAAGTATCTTCAGAGAAACTTCTCAGATGTTCATATGGTAGGTGCCAGCAGTATCTCTTCAAAATTATTTTTGCCAGATCTCTGAATTTAATATTTGTTGTTATGCAAAATGTATCCATGTGAACATTACATTTTTAGAATGATTTGTCAACATTGCCTATTCTTTTCTCCAGCAAAAATAGATCCTCCAGTCATGAATGTAACCCAAGTTAATGGATCCTTGTCTGTGATTCTCCGTTCCCCAAACACACCGTACAGAAACCAAAAGGGGCGAAATGTACCAATGGAAACTTACTATGAGCTGGTATACCGAGTCTTCATAATCAGCAATTCACTAAAAAAGGTAAGTTCAGATGAATAGATAAGCCTGGCGTTTTGTTTTCTTTTGTTCATTTGACTAACATTTTAACCATAAAATGTCTTCTCTCTTGCTACTGTATCCCTTCTTACTGTTTTTCTTGTATATTTTCTAGTTCCTTCTCACTCACCCTCATTGATAAGGAATTTGTGCTCCATGATACCTTCTTGGGGTGTGTGTGTGTGTGTCTCTGCGCTTTTTCAGTCGCGCGCCTTGCTTCCACCCGATCTTCCACACATGTCCAAAGATTGGCATCAGCAACGTTCCATCCCATTTCACTGCCACAAATATTCATTTGTATGGACTTTCCACACTTTATTTTAAAGTGGCTTTCAGGTCAGAGAGTTTTGTATTTGTGCCCATTTTGCTATGATATTTTAATTCATTGTCTGTGTCTTTATCTTGATTTGGTGGTTAATTCAATATTCCTTTTTGGGTGGCCATCTAAGACAGGGATCCTTAAGTTCTGAGGAACAGAACCCCAATCAATCTGATTCAAATAGAAAATAGGTAGGTGGATGGGGGGAGTTTAATCAGGAAATGACGAGCAATCTTATGGACAGCCAGAAGCACCAAGTACAGAGCTGCCAGGCTCTGCAGGGTCTGGGAAGGCAAAATGGAGAAGCGGGCTGTAGAGGAGAACCCCAGTCTGCCTCTCTGTGGTCACATGTTGCATGTCTACAGCTGACTCCAAATCTACGCAATTCTCCTCACCGCACAGTTCAAACTCTGGAAAAAGAGCCTGGCCCCTGGGTCAGGCAATCAGCAGCCCTCACGTAGTACCCACACAGCCACTTGACCTCTGTTTACCCAGGACTCTGGAGAAGGAGGGTGTGTCTGGGAAGAAATCCTGCAGCCCACCTGCTACTGTGACCAGGAACAAGTTGTTGATTGCATCAAAAGTAGAGCAAATCAGTGACTTACTGAAAACTGTTTATCGTCTCTTATTTTCTCTGTATCTAGGAGCGAAAGGTCTATGAGGGAACTCACAGAACTGTTGACATTGAAGCTCTGACACCTCACACTGGTTACTGTGTAGTAGCTGAAATATATCGGCCGATGCTAGACAGAAGAAGCCAGAGAAGTGAAGAGCGATGTGTGGAGATCCCTTGAAGGGGTGTGGTGTGCTCTGCAACATGGAAATCAGAAGCTCTCTGAACATGGGTTGGCTCATGTTTGCAGGGGCTCATTGACAACTGTTTTCATATCTTCTTAAAGCCATGTTATACTTTTGGGACTTCTTTGTTTATCCATTCTTTCTTCTTTTATATTTCATTTGTAAACTAAATGTAAGCAATGTGCCCCCCCAAAACACATTAGAATTTAAAGAAGAGGCAGAGAATAAAGGGTCTATGAAATACAGAGCTTTACTTCTGAATGTAGCATCCCTACCAAGAATCTCCATTCTTCTAATTGAAGAACCATGAAATAGTAGGCATTTAACAAACTGTTGTTGAATTAAGTTTTGACAAATGCCATGATAGGCAAGCAATCCTGAAGCATTCTTCTTCACTCTCTATTGAGACAATTTGACATAGATGTACCAACTTTTATATGAATGAAATTTTTACATAAATGAATTATTTTCCCATATATTTCTATATTATATGAATATAGTTTTTCATGCAATTATTTTTTATTATAAATTATTTCTACTTGATGAACAATTTTTTATCTATGTAAATAAGAATAGTATTTGAAAAAATACCTCATGGTGTCTGGATTAATATCCAGATAAAGATGATCCACAATAGCATCCAAATACTGATGTCTATTCAATTCTATTTCCCCTGTTTAGCACACACCCACATTAAGGTTTTCATTTCTGTTTTTGTTTTGTTTTTTAATATCACCTTAGAAGAATTTAACCTTATTCTCAAAAGCAGGCATAGTATTTTTCAGCAACAAAGTAAGAAAGGAACCTTAACTCTGATACACACCACACTTACTGTTCTACCCTCCCTACGGAGAGTCTCTGGCTGGTTGCATGTTCGTAATTTCCATGTACAAGTCTCTTATGAATGACACTTTGACTGGGGACGGGGGTGGGGAGGGGGTGTGGTGCGTGGGATGGCTGAGAACCAGGCAGGGATGTTGGCTTGCAGCGGAAAGCACACAGGGGGTGACAGGTGACCTGGGAGACAGCCTGGTGCTGGCAGAGATTATAGGTCTGGTTAACACTCCCCAATGACATTCTAGCTGCTCCACTGGCCACTCCACCCCCCAGGAAATGCGTGCGGCCTGAAGCCTAGTGTACACATTCTAGATTCAGTCTTACATACCCATGTAAGGTTGTCTTTCTTGTGACAGGTTAGAGAACATTTGTACAATTTCTCATGGAAATTGCCCCAAAATGTGGTAAAAATATAGTAAGTACTTCTGGGTATATATAGTTAAACGGAATAATAAATGGATTAAAAATTATTCAGAAATGCATGGAGGGAGAGAGGGAGAGATACAACAAGATCTGGAGAATTAGTTTTATTGCTTTCCCCTGTGGTCAGAAAAAAGTGAATCTGAGCATAGAACGAGAGACGGAAAGTTACTTTAACCTGAGCTGTTGAATTACGCGTGAGGAGTAAGGACTGCGTGGGGCCGGCAGCATTCATGTTTCTGAAATTCAACAGTCCTGAAGCCCGATCTGAAAACCAGCTGTGGTGGCCTCGCGAAAGCCATTGAGCAGCAGCAAGTCTGGGTTTTGTCTGTTCTGCTTTGTGTTCGCTCTCACGCCGAGGCGGGGGCCCTCGGGCACGCTTAGGCAGGAGTGAAATGCTTTGTGAAGAATAACAACTGTCACAATCTTCCTTGTGTTAGGAATAGACTGTCATCCTATTTTAATAAATCCTTTAATTTTTGCTTTGCACTTTGAAATATTTGTTATTTGGGTTATTTAAAAGAAGGGTAAACTGTATAAAGTCTCTGTTACCGTGGGGGTCAGAATCGACAAGCCCCGGCCTCCGCTCATCTCCCTCTCTGCCACCCCCACCCCCGCCCACCTGTGCAGGCAGGTGAGGTGCAGGTTGTGCAGAACTAAGAGAAAAACCCCTGCAACCGATCTCCTCAGAACAGGCGTAGTCCAAGGACAGGGACCGTGATTCCAATGCCCCAAAGATACAGATTTCTTATCCTTATAAGCTAAGACCTCAATTCCTTTCAGCATTTCTTCAACGACAGCTGGTCTCTCTTCACCCGCAGCACCTGGGCCTGACGTGGGCGGGGGCTGGCCCGCTGGGCGTCTCTCCCCCTCTCAGGAGCCCTAGGCCTCTGACCTCCAGACGGTTACAGAAAGCGGCCAGTCATGCTTGACTGGTGCTCTCATGAATGAGACAGACCTGACAGATATTTGCATTTGGGACTTTCTTTTTTCCTGTAAAAGATTAATCTAGAAGCAAGTGCTTTGCCATGAGTGAAACTCACTCCAGACACACTGTGCAGCTGGAAGTATCTATATTTTAGACAGAAAGACCCTTCATCCTGCCCCTAAATCATACTGTGTCCAAAGCCGAGGGCCCAGGAGATGGGTCTATTTCATCAAGAAAGTCTAGGAAGGTGGGAGATGGGTGAGGAGAGGCAGTGTGGCAGCTGGTGTGACCTCTGCAGTTTATTCTGTTTTTCACACTAATCCCTCATTTCACCCACTAGCCCCAGGATTCCCACATGACAGGGCCAGAACTCTGCTCACTGTCTCCCTTGCCTGTCCCTTTGTCACTTTATCAAAGGGATCCTTCTCAGCTCCCCAATGCACATGTGCAGCACAATCATCTAGTGGGACGTGACTCAGGTAGGTCATTCAGAGTTCTTTTCAAATATTGATGCCGAGAGTAGAAGAAAGAAGTCTGCTCTCTCTTCTGGGATTATGCGTTGTAAGGACCAGCCAAGCTTGGAGCTGCATTGGCCAACGTTCCCCCCAGACAGAGAAAGCCCCTTAGAGTAGGAAATCAACACAGAGGAATGGAGAGCAGAGGTGGAAAGAGACAGATTTCTGCTGGCATTCAAGCAAATCCAGCTGTGCTGAAAACCAGCCTAGCTTCTGCCCTGGCTGATGTGGCTCAGTGGATGGAGCTAGCAGACTGAAAACTCAAGGGTCACCAGTTCAGTTCCCAGTCAGACCACATACCTGGGCTGCGGGCCAGGTCCCCAGCATGGAGTGTGTGAGAGGCAACCATACATTGATGTTTCACTCCCTCTTTCTCCTTCCCTGCCCTGTCTCTCTGAAAATAAATAAATAGTTTTTTAAAACTAGCCCAGCTTCTGACCTTTGACTTTGAGCAAGTAATTTTCTTTCTTCCGTGCTTCACTTTCACTAGACTTTCTATCATTTTCAACCAAAAGACCCTTGACAAATGGAATAAAATAAGAAGTGTGTATGATGTGATTTGCGTGCTGTATTAACAAAAGTAAACTTTTTTATGTCTACTACAACCTGCAAACATTGAGAGGAACATTGCTAGAAAGTCTGTATTTCCACGGATGATACAATGAATGCAGTTTGACCTCAGTAAAGCCCTTCAGAAATGTGCCTGTGATGCTGGTCAGGATTTTCTCAGAGATGTTGCCAGCCAAGGTCTTCTGTGTCCAGCACATTCTCCTCTTGGTTATATCCCTTGGTTTCACAGCTATCTTGGTATGAAATACATGTGGAATTTTATTTGTACTCATTTTCATAATAGCAATCAAGGTCCCATTAAATATTCTTCAGAAATCATAAGGCTGTATGGATAGTATAACCAAAGAGCCAATATTTCCCTCTTATTCTATTAATATAATACGCAAGGTAGGAAAGTCCTTTTAGAATGCTCCAAGTTCAGGCCACAGATATTTACTGATATCTTAATATATGCTCAGGACAATGCTAGTGGCTCTATTCCATATACCACATCTACAATGTCTACAGAACTTTTTTCAAATGCTCACAGCATTCTTGTTCTCTCCCTCCCTTCACACACACGCGCACACGCACACACACACACACAGAGCATCTGCCATTATAGGCTCCTAGCATGTCATCTCCACTCTTTTGAGAACAGGGCTGTGTAATTCTGTCTAAATTCCAGCCAATACCTGACTTCACCACTATCTTTCATCTTTGCATTAAAAAAACAATATTTTGCATTGCTTAAAATTAATCTGTCATTTTTTTTTGTTTTTTCAAACTAACTTCAGCAAAGAGGAATGTTTCCAGAAACAATTGCTTGTCAACTCTTTGTCAGTCCAACAGCCTCCAAGTTGACTTTTGTTCTTGTTTTTGATGTTGCAACTATCCCCCAAGGCACAGAGCCTGGGCCATCAAAAGTTTTGCAACAGTGGCAAGAACGGAGCTGTGGAGGCAAGGAACTGAAAACTTGCCAAGACCTCCACAAGTTGGAACTTACTGCCATTCATAAGTATTGCAATGGTTCAAGTTCATTATTAAAAGTAATCAGTCCTTCTCTTTTAAGAAAAAGTAGTTGAGATCATTACTCTTGCTTTTCATAAACCTGTAAAAGGAAACGTGGACTCATGTTGGTCTGAAAGTTAAAGAACTGATCTACTATTTAAGATCTAAACTTAATTTCTCAGCAGCTTCACCCTGAATGGGCACAAATTCCTTCCTTTCCTGCAAGTAAGGGAGAAAAGACAACAATTTAATAGAAAAGCAACCCAAAGGTTTCCTTCAGTGGCACAATGACTAGCACACATGGACACACTCTAAGTATTTGTTGAGAAATTCAATTACCTACCTTGTGCAGACATTTGTTATGCTTTCAGGATGCTTAATGTTGGAATCTCTGTCTTAAGTTTGAGGGATCCCCAGTTTATGAGATGGTGGCAGGTGCTCTGTCTCCAAACCTCTCTTGCAACTAAGAGGCAAGTACCGAGGCTCTGCCAGCCTGCCCTCCTGAGGCCCTGCCCCAGACTTTGAATTGCAAGCTTGGCCACAAATGACCAGTCTTGTGGCTAATCCATTCTGGCCAGGGCAGTGGCAAGGTGGCACAGAGAGCTGTGGCTGCAGTTTTGGTGACAGTAGCCCACGTCTAGTGTTAGAGCTCTGAGAGGTGTAAGCTATAGGTGGCCCTGTGGCAGTGCAGGAGTCTTTAATGGACAAATCTGTGACTCAGCTGGGACACTACTCCTGGCTTCACAGCCTCCACGTCTGGTTCTCTTCCCCAGCCCAGCCCTGTGGAGGGCCTGTGAGTTACCCCAAATCCATTTATATTTTTAAATTCTTATAACACATAAACAAAAGTACGCAAGTCTTAAGGATGTAGATTTGTATTCTGTACATACTCCAGATCAAGATGCAGAACGGCTCCAACAGGCTGAAGGCTTTTTTGCAGAGTCCTCCCTTTCAGTGCCCTTTGGGGGCAACCACAACCCTGATTTCTATCCCAGGGACGGGTTTCCCCTGTTTTTGAACTTTGTATAAATGAAATCCTACAGTGTGAGGTTTTCTGTATGTGGCTTCTTTCTTTTGACATTATGTCGATGTGGTGGCATGTATCAATTGTCCATTTTTAAATGAACGTGTAAATTTCTTTTGTATATCTGTAACACAATTTATCTATTCCACTCCTGGACATTGGGTTGCTTCCCGTTTGAAGCTATCAAAGATAAAGTTTCTACAAACTTTTTATGAATGTTTCTGGTAGACATATTCACAGATTTCTGTTGGATATATTACGCAGAAGTAGATCATTGGGTTTAAGTATGTTTAGGTTTAGTGGTTACTAACAAACCCGTTTTTTCAAAGCAATTGTTTCAATTTATACTTCTACCAGCAATAAGAGAATTCTAGTTGTTCTACATCTTTGCACATACTTGGTATTGTTATTATTTTCAATTATAGCCATAATGTGGATATTTAGTCATGTTTCATCATGGGTTTTATGTGTGTGTGTGTGTGTGTGTGTGTGTGTGTGTGTGTGTCTTTAAGTGAGCATGTTTTAAAGATTTAAATTATAAAGAGAAGAATGGCAAAGCTTATTCAAAGGATTATAGGATTGGGATAAGTATTTAGAGTCATTGAAAGAAAGAATGCTAACTTAGATACAAATGCAATTAATGTCCTACACGTCAATAAAACTGTAACCTTTAAAATTATCTTTTCCATGGAAAATCATTTTTATCGCTACTGGAAAAAAATTATTTGCCTTACTTTAGTGAGAATAATTTACATGACATTCAATTTTCTAAAAGTGAACACCTATCTCGAGTTGTAAAATATCCTAGTAAATAGCAATTAGTGTGGCAAGGATGAGCCTGTTGGACAATGAAAAGACTTGTAGTTTACTGCTCTGAAGCATTTACTAGATGAACTGAGAAACCGCCAAGTTTGAGCATGACCCAAAACGAGAGCTGGCTTTCTAGCCAATCCAGGGCAATCAGCTCAGCTCATTGGTTATTATGACCCAGAATAACCCATTCATTGTGCGTTTGTGGATACAGCTGAAAACTAACTGATGAGACACCCTGTAGAAAGCAGCAAGGAAAGGTATAGAAGAGAAAAGGAAATTTAAAAAATAAACGTATATGTACATATGTATGTTTAGGTATAAATACATATGCATATACATTTATTTTTTAAATTTCCTTTCTTTTCTACCCCTTTCCTCACCACTTTTTATCGGGGGTGTTGGTAATTGTAACTTTTCAACTTTATCGACTTTGTTGGCAAAGAAAGCCACACCCAGGGAAAGATTCCAGCATCACCTTTCTGAAGCTGGAGATGAGAAGCATGTAGTAGGAACTCATGATTTCCCTCCCCTAATACCCATTCCGTGTTCTAGTTGTCTTTCTCCCTGAAATTGTTGAGGATGCATGATGGGTGATTGACCCAGACCTTCCTTCCCAGGGCCTTGGAGCCCCATCTGAGTTT